ATAAATATAATAAAACATGATAAACTCGCTACTAGCGGTTAGGCTAAAGGCTAATTGCAACAGACATTTGGAGATTACAACTTAGCATGGACCATTAAGTACAGATTGTATACAAGCTGGTCATTAGCATATTATCATATAATACAGGGGAATAGGGGAATGCCTATAATGATGTGACGTTAAAGTAATCTGCCTATTTAGAGCCATTGAAAATGAAATGTACTGATGTATACGAGTTTAGTCATGAATGGTATACCACGCTGAAAGCTGGCAACATTATCATTTCATCCGGAAGACGTCTACTGATGTACAAAGGCGTCACCCAAAAATCTCCACGACGATTGATCCTGCGTTGCTCGCATCCAACGCTTTCCAGCGATCTTGAACAGATCGTCGGCGATCGATATCTATATCTTAATGCCCATTTCCTTAAAAGATCTATTAACTTCATCTAAACGATACCTTGGAATAGCATGTTTATATTTCTATCTACAATAGTATTACGTATTTTTCAATGAGTTAAGTAAGTATACACATTCATGAGTTACTTATGTAAATTGTGTGCAATAAAGATTTTACAATACAATACAATATCACGCTCCTTGAACTTAGTGACGTTTCCCTCTTAATTCTGTTCTTCAGAACACACTTCACACTTCAGTGTGTACTCGTTCATATTTAGTAATAGTTTTTGTATGATACGTAACTGACTGAAAGAAAAGTACGGAAGACACCAAATTAGTGGTCCCTCTTACATCCGATGGTCACGGGTTCGATTCCTAGCACGGTACAAATATTTATATTCATGAGTATCATTATTTGTATTGGTCTGGGTGTTCTCAATGTACATTGTGTATTAATCTACGAAAAAAGTCATTCAAAATATTTATATCAGATAACACAAGCTTTGCATAGCTTGGGACTAGATGGCGCTGTGTGAATTGTCCAGCTTTATTATTATATTAATCGATATATTTTAAGAAGGTATGTAGACTTATAAAACATCCGAACAAAGTTACATATACATGTTATACTGAATCGAAAACTATATTTTGTTATTTATTCTCTGTTTGTATGATTAACCATTTGTCTGTCCATTCATATAATAATGACTAGAATGATTAACTATGAATTTTTAACAACCCTTATATCATTTATATGTAGACGATGACCTCAGTAGTCCAGCGGTTCAGTACACCCCTGACTTCCGATGGTCACGAGTTCGATTCCTCGCATGGTACAAACATTTATATACATGAGTATTGTATCGGTCTGGCTATTTTCTATGTATACTATGTATTTATTTACAAAAAAGGTTGTATATTACCTACCTATAAAATAAACTATTATAACTGTACTATATAACTTGGACTAGATGGCATTTTGTGAATTGTCAAGTAATGTATATTATATATTTACGTAATTCTATTTTTGCCCGACTGCCAAAAATATGAGAGTAATGTATTTTAGGTAGTATAATGTATGTGAGAAGTGAACTTTATGAATGTGAATATACCCGGATGTCTTAACCTGTAGCTTAAACGGCTTGATTGGGTTTTAATAAACGGATCATTGGCCTTTATCATGGACAGTATAAATAAATAAGGTCGATATAATAAATGTACGAATACCTTTATATAAATAAGTATACATCTACGAGAAAAATACAATTTTTAATTTAATTGAGTTGTAGTGGTACAATTCCTAATATAATCTTGTTAATATTATAAACGTTTCGCGCTTGTGAGTGTGGATGGATGTTTCTTACTCTTACACATAAAAGGTAGTAAACAGATTTTAATGAAACTTTCCAGACATATAGCTTATACATCATAATAACAATCTATAAATACCATGCGGGTAAAACTGCGAGCACAGCTAGTATTTCATATTACCATTAGGTCTTTACACTGTAAGTTATTCCTGAGTACTTGTACATTTATACATTTATATAAAATTACATACACACATTTACATACAAGACTAAAACTTATGTAATTGTATACAAAAATAAAATTAGGTAAAATGTAGAGCACCCTTTTAAGAATCTTACTACCCTAACAAAGTTGGATTAGTAGCCCTATATTTTTTGTTTCATCATAGTACTTCAAAAAGCGTAAATGCATTAAAAACTTGAGAAGTGTACCAAGTTTTTAAGAAATTAATTGGTATTTAATAATTAATGGCTAATTACTAATGTAACTATTGCGAAATTGTAACGAAAACAGAAGCTAACAGGTTACTCGTGAGAGAAACCGTGGAAACATCTAGTAGGATTAAGTGCCTCGATTTAATATTAAAGTGCTCAACCGCTTATACTGGTTTGGCTGTTTGATATTGACGTCTCTGCTCAAATAGAAAAAAATAAAACAACATAAAAACAATATCAACATTTTTTTATCTCCTAGTTACTTGCTACGTAGTTAATATGCAACTTTAAATATTATATTTATAGAAGTCATTGCGATTTTGTTCGTATCACCAGGATTAAATTAATATAATGGATCCGGTGGAAGATATATAAGAAGGATTTGGATAAATGCCTAATTTCTTGGTGCGAGGAAATATCAAATGACGATTGGAAATAATTTTTTTCGTAACTACATAGTAAGTTGTATATGTGTACACGAACGAAAAATAAAATGATTTTTTTGTTTTGTTTTTTCATGTTTCAGCGAAATGCAAAAGGACTATCAAAATAATGCTCATACAGCTATTAAATTTATGATTTGCTCACAGCCAAAACATTGGCGCGAAAAATCTATAATACAGATTATACTTTATATGCATCTATTTATTCATAGATAAGTAAAAACCGCAAATATCTCTCGTTGTATAAATTCGTCATTCCTCTACACCCTATGACAGGGTTTGGCAAAGCGCATAACAACGCATAGCGCTATTAAATAATTCTTACCTAATTATAATTACCATTGGCAGATTTGAGTAGCCATATTGACTTGATATGTAGATGAAACTGTTTTCGTAACAAACATAATTACAATTATTATAATTGTGCCCGGTTGGATGTAAATGAATTTATTTTTAAACCGTCATTATGCATATATGTAGATTGTAATAAATATTTAAAATGTCACTGTTCTGTGATTTTTTTATGTGTAGTTATAAATTTACTTTATTTCGTGTATAAGAAAACTGGGAATCCTGGTACATTACAATATTTTATATTTAATACGAATAACATTTTAAAATTGCTCGAGACAATAGAAAAGATAGATTGCTTTTTTTTAAAAAGGGATTGACATTTTTGCATATTTTAATATGTAATGAACACAAACAATTAATTTTTGTCTATGGATTTAAATAGAGCACCTACTTATGTATACTTTGGGATTTCAAAACATTAAATAAAGCAATTATGGGTCTGATATTTTAATAGATTGAATAGAAATCCCTTGGGTATTACCCAAATCACGACAATTAAATTGTACATTTTTATCATTTTATTATAAGTATAATACCTAATTATTTATGGAAAGTTTTGAGTATATTAGTAATTTATCAAAATCTATGTAATTTTCATAGACATTTGCAATTTCAATGTTGGCAAACAAGCTGTTTTCAATGTTTTATTCGCTGTGTTGCCATCCCGAATTCGGTTAAAAGTAAATATTTATGTGTTAATGAAGACTATGATCTATCTGTGTAACAAAATTTATTTCATGAAAAGTAGTTATTTTTAATTTACTTACAATATATGTGTGTTTATTTACAATATACGAGTTGATTCCATACTTTTTAAGTTTTGTTTTGAGTATTCATAGTTACCTACATAGTAGTTCTTTATTTATTTTGCCACACGTTGCTATTTCAGAGCACTAAGATTTCATGTCTCTTATTCTGTAATTTCTCTGCCTAATCCGCACCTTACAACCAAAATGCTGCTTACAAAGAAAGCTGCTTGGGGGTTGAAATAGAAGATACTCATTCATGCAGACTATAGGTGCAAACATTAGTATTCATGAGTATATTTTTTTATATTAAATATATTCTTTATATAATATATTGTTACATAGTTATTTTAGGGTATCTACCTATCTTCACGCTCAATTACAGGGTAGTTACAGGTTTAGTACGTACTTTAGTTTCTATAGCGTCAATAATTTGATTACTGTCAATTAAACGTATATTTTTCTATGAAATATAATTATTTACCTCTATCAAAGTAGGTATAAACAATACAAAACATTGTGAAAATAAAGAAAAAGTCAATGAAATACGAAATCCTAAAATGACTGATTTTATAAATAATCACAAACTTATTTTTATGTATCAAATAAAGACAAGGACAAACTAAATAAAGAATAAATACTATTTAAAAAAAAATATGTACGCATTTTTAGAGAAGTTAAATTATTTTATCGATATTTTTAGCAACTAAATAAGCCAAAAATATCGATAAAACCATTTTACTTCTCCAAAAATGCGCGCGAGAATGTATGCCTAAATACATACCTAACTGAGAATATAATTAACAAACGTAATGACATATATAATGAGTGTTACATAATAACAAGATAATAACAAAAGAGTAAATACCACTTGATCTATTTGATGGAATAACAGGTTATATTTACCACATACAAGTAAGTACCTACCTACAATGAAAATGACATAGATTTATTACTCTATGACACAAATTATCGGCAGACTGTCACGGCATTTAGATAAATGCTTTAGAACAACGATAAAAGTCATAAGTTATCGTTCAAATATAAACAAAACTTAAACTGCTATGACCTCCACATATATATTGTAGAAACACTTGATTAATATGACACATGACTGTTATTTTAATACTATTTTTAGTAATAACTACTAGCGTACACATAGCATTGGTCCTGTATATATAAAACGAAACAACACATTCATAACCTGTCGCTTATAGCGAAGAAGAAAGTGATACTTTTACTTTCAATCCGAGCTGACTGCTTGATTAATTAATATAGAAGCGATAGAATATGTATGTAAATACTCACCAGACTGATCCAAACGAGACACTGAATAATCCAAGACATTATGCTCTTCAAAAACATATAACCATGATCACAATGTTTTGTTGACCACAACGCATGCGTGGTGTTCAATTATTAATTTACATGACGAAATTCACGCGATTTATTTGCTTTTCGTTATGACGCAGGCTTCCAACCTTATTTGTCGATATCGATAGAGGTACATAAGCGTGCACTTCTTTAAACGTACGTGTGACAACTGACCGACCACACCGGTAGAACAGTTTGTGCCGTCGCGAGACAATTATCTGAAGACCTCAGCACCTCCTTACGTTTATCATAGAACATAGAACATTTGGAAGGCGGGGAGGTTTATTTTAAGCTGGTCGTATTTTAAGGACAGCTGTTCGATTTTTCTTGCCAATTGCACCCATTCACTTTCAAGTTCGAAGTTCAAAAGTGTTTATATTATGCATTTTTTGTTGCTAAGTACTTAAAAAGTAATATTTTGGGTATATTTTTAAGAGGGATTGTACAGTAAGAAACTCGTCACTAATTATTTTGCAACTACATATTTACAGTATATTTTTATTTATAATTGTATCGATAACTATTATCGATATATTTATAATTAATAAAGGACTTGACTATGGATATTTACCTACTTAAAATATAATTAAATGTTATTATATTAAATTTAAATTACTATATTATTATATTATCTATATATTCATTCATCATATATAATATATTGTTATATATATTCTTATTAAAATACTTGTTAAAAAGTACCTATTAAATAGTTTTTTAGAGATATATGATGGATGGTATAATGATTTATATATAAATAATATATTTATATATAAATTTATATTTGATGCTTTTGTTTCAGTAATTGTAAAAATATTTAAGACATATTTAGAGTTCTGAAATAAATAAATACTTGAAATAGTTTAATTTTATGTGCCTGTATTTAAACATTTATTTATTTTGTACCATGTAGTTTTCGATTTATAATACAAAAAACGTACGTACAAAACATGAAAAACTGTCATTTTTCTAAAACTGTTTTCGAGGAATTAATAATTATATTATATATGTAATAATTACTTGTTATAACTATTCCAGTACATAAAAAAATATAAGGTCATAGTGGAGCACTGAGAGTTGATCCCAGCTTTCTCTCTCGGACACTGGTCAGTTGGGTTTGGTAGTAAGTATTTAAATTTGATTAACACTTTTCAATGTGTACTTAGTTTGATTTGCATTTGCAAATATTAGAAAGGCTGTCTATAGAAGCCTATAGTTTCTCTGAAGTTCTGAATTTGTGAAATTCTTGGGCGACACTAAAGATTTTGTGTAATAATTTTAATTTTTGACTCCTAGCCTTGATGATCTAGTGCCTTAGCACACCGTATTACTTCTGATGGTCGCGGGTTCCATTCCCCGCACGGTGCATCTGTATTCATGACTATTATTGTTTGTACCGGTCTGGCTGTTTTCTATGTATAATATACATTTAAAAAAAATGTATTTCTGTCAATTAATTGTCTAGTACTTACCCATAACACAAGCTTAAGCTAGCTTAGCTTTGGACTAGATAGCGCTGTGTAAATTGTCCTAAAATGTTATTATACTTTATTTTTAGAATATTTCAAATGTAACGAATTTTATGCAAAGGAAGGAATTTCGTGACACACAAAAATAGTGGCAGAAACTGTTTATAAAATTCTCCGATTAAAGAGAAAACTTTATCGGTTTTGAAATTAAATTATTCCGATAGATATAGGTCTATCTATTTTTTGCTATTCTAAAGTCTTCTCTTTAATCGGCTTTATCTTTAATAATTTAAATTAAATCTTTAATCTTGTGTGATTTCGTTTGTATATGTTACATTAAACAACATATATACTCAGCGAAAATCCCCCATATCGTTGAGTTACGTTCACCATGGGTGATGTTGACTGTTCACCATGGGTCTGAGTACCTCACCTCGGATTACGTGTCATAAGGATATACAACGTTAGTCATAAAGGATACCACGCTGAAATCCAGTAATAATATTCTTGGCAAATTTACCGCAAAATCGTAACAAATGGAATACTAGCATTATTTGGCTTTGACGATAAGGTCTCCCTTTTTTGGCCTTGTTTGTTATTATTTTTAACTTTTTATCCATAATTGTGTATGTATTTTCTGTGAGAGGAACAATAAACAGTTTAATTCATGTATACATAGAATAAAGTCGCTTTGGTATGAAAAATAAAATATAATAATATGATTTGTACATTATATTATATATATATTGATACATATAAACCTTCCTCTTGAATCACTTTATTTATTAAAAAAACCGCTTCAAAAACCGTTGCGTAGATTTAAAGATTTAACCATACATAGGGACGGACAGACAGCGACAGTGGCTTTGTTTTACACTGTGTAGTGATTATAATTATAGAATTAATATATTTTCTTCTTTCTTCTTCTTTTCTACAAACGCTTATATAAAAACATTTTATATAGGTGACTACATGATTAACTAGGTACTAGACAACCGATATAAATACATTTTTTATTTGTAAAAACACGCATAATATACATAGATAACACTCAGAGCAATACAAACAATCATACTCATGAATCCAAAGGTTTGCACCGTGCTAGGAATCGAACCGATATCGGCACGGTAAAGAACGGTAAGGGGGTGTGCTAAACCGCTAAACCACTGAGGCTGTCAAATACACTTAATATACATATAAAAACTCATGAGACCAAATGTTATCATTATCAACATTTTAGCCCGGAAAACGTCTACAGCAGAACAAAGGCATCCTGCAAAAATCTCCACGACGATCGGCCCTGCGTTGATCGCATCCAACACTTTCTAGCGATCTTGACCAGATGGTCGGTCCACGTGTTAATATTGAATATACTATACCTACTTTAGTTTTATTTTTTCGTTCAACTTTTAAACATTGTATAGCATATTATCTTTAGGAGGGCAATGGTGTCTGAAATACAGGCACTACTGCATTGGACTTAAATAGTTTTTAAGAACTATTTAGCATTATATATGGAAATAGATATAGAACCTTAGTTAAGTCCAATTTGTATCTGTTTTTTTTTGCCCAATAAGCCTATTATTATGAATTAATGAAATGTAAGACCATTGAGAGTAAAGAATCGTGTTAAGCACCTAGGTTTCTGCATAAAACAATTTAAAATGTCTTCTCCTTATGTTCTCGTACCTTGCAAAATAATTTACTTTTCCTGTTTTACTATACTGTACGTATATTATGACGTCATTAAATTGATTCCCCATTCCCACGGAATCCACGCAGACGTAGATTATTCATGATACATTATGATGCAGTCTTAAGTAATTAAATTATTTTAAATAACATATTTAAAGACGTTTCCGTTATAGTTGTTGTGTACAACGCACCTTTTTATATGATAATTATTTTTTTTTATATATACATTTTAAATATTTTATGCTTTGTTCCATTTTTATTGTCATTTTGAAATTATGTCTTTACTATCAGCGACCGTAGTTTCTCTTATAACTAAAATTGAAATAGAAGGATACAGTACTTAGAAACCTCAGTCATTAAAAGTCGTCATCAATTATGAGTTGCTTTGCGTTATTTTTAACCACACATAACACTGTTTAGTCAACTTGCAATTTTGTTTTTTTGTCACGTCACGAAATTTATCATGTTTTTTGTTAATATATTTTATTTCTAATATATGTTTTTGGAATAAAATATATTAACAAAAAACAAAACATGACGTCACATTTCAAAATATTAAATGTTACTTACATTTAATATTTTGAAATGTGATAAAACACAATCTTTGAGTTAATAATGAAAATAGTTCATTATATTTAACCTCACATTAGGGAGGAGAGAGGTCTCAGAAATCTAACTGTGACAAGAACGGGGGTGGGTCCAAAAAGTGTTCACGAAATTCCTGTGACGTAATTCCTGAACGACCCTTAATTAAACTAACAAAGAAAATCTCTGTTGAAAAATGCTAATTGACGCCTAATGTGAACTAGACCGTGAAAAAATATTTTTATACTAAGATGATGATAATCACGCATACAGATACAACTCATCAGATGGTAAACGATTACCGTAAACTACGGACACGTGAGACACCTGAGATGTTACGAGTACGTGCGCATTGCCTGCTTAACAAACCCTAAAATGTCTTTCTTGAAAAACCCCATACTGTAGTCTCTAGAGAAAACCTCGGCAGGTAGTTCTACACACAGTCTAAGTATACGAGGAAGGAGGCTCCTCTATAACTACACTGTCGCAGATTTCTCAGGTTCCAGCTTGTAGGAAGCGTGTGGAGGATTCCACGTCGATGGGGACCGTTTGCAAGATGTAGGTAAGTTGTAAGTTTGCAAAACAAGTTTTGGTAGAAGAAGTACCTCTTACTTCTCCTGTCACAGGTTTTTTTGGACCTAACCTCAAATATGCAACATGTTGCTTTTTAATGTTAATAGGCGTTGATAATAGCCTCTATTTTAATATATTTAAATTCTCCTTAAATGCTCGTTAATAATTGTGCTTTCAAAGTTTCAAATTATAATCATAATTGCGTTAAAATTAACATGTGATTTGACGACTTTGTATAATATCGTCAGCTGTTACACCTCAAAGTTAAATAATATATATTTTTCTGGCAAGCAGATGCACTTCGTTTTAAAAGATATAGCAGAAATTGTATTATGGAAGCACAACACTATACTGCTACAGATACAGATAATCATGTGACACAGTTTATCTTATTATATGGTGTTGATACTCATGGTAAGTATTAACAGTAGATACACACAGCTACATCGCACTGGTTATGGTATTACGGCTGCGCGCCGTGAGGTATAATGAATCTGTGGCGCTTTCCATTTGCGCGGGAAAATGAAACAGACTATTTATTCAAGAATATTTTTTACACTTTATAATTATACTAGCTACTCACCCCGGCTTCGCTCGGGTGTACATTTATTATTAGTTATTATTTATTACTACCTCTATCTATTTAAAAAACCGTTTCAAAATCCGTTGCGTATCCGTTTTGATTTATACTACAGCGACTTTGTTTTACACTATGTAATTATTATTACAATTCAGGATTTTTTACATACAAAAATAATCAAGGAAATTAAGAATATGAAAAATAAGCAGACATAGTAATGTCGTCCTTTGCCTTTCCTTTAAAGAATAAACGGAACAAAAGAAATCGTTACATTATATTTCTACTTGATTCTATATAAATATTTATAACTTGTAGTGTATTATACCTACTATCTCAATATATACCAACCCAATACTGCTCCTGTAGCATGCTGATGGTTATAGGCGGCGGTTACAAAGTTTAATAAAATCAGCCATCAGTTTGATTGCCATATCTGCACTGGCATAATTCTTTGTCTATGACTGACGTATATTCATGACTAATGAATCTAAAGTTTTTATTAATAACTAGCTGTACCCGCGACTTCGTCCGCGTGGATTATACTTTATCTTTCTGAAATAAAATAATGTTTCTAAAATAAAAGTAGCCTAAGTTACTACTTATTACATTAGCTACCTGCCAAAAAAAATCCCGTCAAAATAGGCCCAGCCATTTCAAAGATTAGCCGGAACAAACAGACAAACAGACAACAATAAAAAAAAAATTTGGTGTATGCAGTAAAAAACGGTTATTTCAATATTACAAACAGACACGCCAATTTTATTTACATGTATTGATTACGATAATATTTCTAAGAGATATGTAATGAAACAACAATTATATTACAATATTTTATTTTAAATTACTTTATATGACTAGGAAATAATAGCAATGTATATTTTCGTCGTAAACAGAATTTATAAAAAAAAAATGAACTTAGTTACCCTGTATATTATGGCAACTAACTCTCTATACATATAAATATTATAATGTGAATTTTGCTTATATTATAATGAAAATATATCGAGACGAATAAGAAATAACATTTTATACTATGTTTTATTTATCTATATAATAATATAATGCAAATTACTTCTAATTATTAATAATAAAAATAGTCTATATTAAAAATAATTATATTGTGAATAATTCAGTCAAATAATTATAAATAGATACAGTATATTTGAAAAACATACACAATATATTATTGACATACATATATGGACATATCATACAGAAGAGTCAGGACTAAGAACTAAAGTTAATTAATGTAAACGTGGATGGCAATGAAGACGATGACCGAAGAAAAGATGAACGGACTGTGTGAAAGATGATATGCTTATAGGAAAGGAAGTTCAAACATTTCAAAACGGTTGAATGTGACCGTGGAAAATGACATACTGCACCAACCCCAAAGGGATAAAGGCAATACAATAATGTTGATAGTTTCTCATTTGAAGATTATTAGATAAAAAAATGAGCAGAGGTAGACATTCATTGACAACATTTTTGAATGAGATCATAAAATTGTAATATACGCATTTGGGGGTGAAAGGTGTTGTTAGTAATTTAAACTACTATAATTGCTCCATTGCTAGCAATGTACCATGTAAGAATGACCTCTACGCGGTTTCCTTTTTTTTTTCGGACTACTCTAATTCGGTTGGCCGCAGCTTGCCTTTACAGCTACACCGGACGTTAGGGGGCGAGTACAGATGGCACTCCAAACCCGCGGAAGGGCTTATGGAGCGGCTGAAGGCCAACTCTTGCCTGACGGATACGACTTTAGTCTGAGGGCACCACTAGGAGTTCGAACTTCGGCTCAGGCCGTTGTAATATCCATCCCCGTTTGAATTGGAAGGGGGATCGATCGGAGGGGGGAAACGCGGATCCCCTGGAAACCATCGTGATAAATTCTCGATGAATTTGTCATGATGGTCTAACTGACCTGACCTCATGCTCTTTCTATAATCCTCCACAAGTGCACCGCCAATGTAAACCGTTAGCGCAGGCGGGTGCACCATCCCATTTTCATCAATTAAATATCTGCATTCTTGTACATTTATGTTGCTTAGTATGTTAACTTAGTATATAGTAATTAATATTAACGAAAATGATTGCTGATGTAACAAAAAAAATCCTAATGCGTATAAGACTAAACTATACTAATAATAATAAATAAAAATATTACTAAACTATTATTAAAGTACTTTACTACACATATAGCTCGGGTTTTAAAACTATTACTAATTGTTAATATCTAATACCTGCCTAAGTTTAATTGAAAGTTAGTTTAGAAAAGTCGATTACCTAAGTTAAAGAGTCATATTAAATATTAAAGTTGCATGACAATTTAGATATTGTTAAAATATAGCAAAATAATTAATTAATAATTGTACAAGCACAATTGTCGTATAATTAAAATAACTAGAGAGAACATGGGTAAAATACTGAGAGCTTAATAAAGATGAAAGAGTTGGAAATATGGATGCGAAGAAATTATTTGTAATTTTATAAACATTTTTTTATGAAATGACAGATAAGCTGTTAGTACAATTAGTTTACTAACATACACAGATTTTTTCATCACCCTCAGGATATTATACGTTGTCAATTCTGAAGGTTAAGGTGTTATGCCTCTAATTAACATACTCTGTAATTTCACTGCCATTTCTCAACCTTCAACTAGACACAGCTTAAAAGAAAGCTGCTTGGAATTGAAAATAGTTGCGACAGAGACTTTGTATACTTAGGAAGTAATTATATTTGTTAGCTCAATTACAGTAGGAAAAAAATATTACAAAAAATAGGTTCGAGTCGCCGCCTGTAAATTGTACGTTTGTACTTAATGGAGAATTTATAGCTTTATTGTAAAAACAAATACATCATCATGATATTATAAGATCCCAATATTTCATCCTAGGGCCTGATCACGGATGGCCTTCTCTATTAAATGCGAAGATGTGTTTGTCTCTCTGTCTATTTGTTACCTTCTTACGACTACTGGCTAAACAGATCCTAATTCAATTTGTTGTGATAGTTCTCAATAGTATATTTAAAAATAAACAAGATGGATATGAATGTTTGTAGAGACGTTTTTTTTTCGAACTAATCTAATTGCCACCATAGTAGTATAAAAGGAATGATGGCCGCAGGCCTTACAGCCTAACTGAATGATATAGAGCGAGTGCACATGACCATCCAAAGGACTTATGAAGCGCTTGGAGCCGAACTCTAGCCTGTCAGATACGACTTTCGTCTGAGGGTATCGCTAGGGTTTCGAACCTCGGCTCAGGCCGCCGTAATTTCGATCCGCATTTGAATTGGACGGGGGATCGATCGGGGGGCGGATGGGGGATCATCGGAGGGGACGTAGTTTGGGTAACCACTAGTCTGTATAATGTGTACAATTGTAAGTAACCGTAAAACAGTTTAAATAATCCTGTAATGGCAGGAGCAGCAGACTGGGAGATCAACCTTTGCCTTCTCGGTGCCGTTGCGTCCGTTGTCAACTAAGAATTCCCATGTGCTTGTTTTCTGTTTGCACATTGTTGTAATACCATTAAATGTGCCTATATCTGTGAAGCAGCTGGTACCAGGCTCTCTGGTGATAAGAATAGAAAGAAAGAATAAACATTTATTCAGTGTTTACAATAAATACAATTAAAAATATAATCATATATATAAAACACTGAACTACAATTCACTTAGTTTGTTCTATGTGAACATGCCGTTGGATTTTTGTGGCAGAAATAACAACAATAATAATAATTTTTATCAAGGATGTTAGGAAAATCCGTAACCGTAACTGAAACTATCGGATATCCGATACAAAAAAATATTCGTAGCCATAACCGAATACGAAATAAAAGTTTCGGATAATATCAATAGGGGCGAAGCCTAATTGAGGCTGATTATAATTTCTATCAAATGTTGACATATAAATAAAACCGTTTTATTAGCTATTTGTATTTTAATTTTTAAATTCCTTAATAAATTAATAACCGTAACCAAAATTATCCGAAACTAACGGATGATCCGAAATAATTTCATATCATTCCTATATCCGAAACCTATACGTCCATAACATCTCTAATTTTTATATTATAATGAATTGACATTGAAATTACGTACAACATTACTTTTATTGATGGGGTCTATGGATTATATGTATCTACTATAGGTATTATATATACAAATGCTAACAACAGAAAACGGTTTTAAAATATATAAAAAGAAATATTCACGCTATGCTTTTGCTGTCTATATGCTTAGATCTTTTAAACTACGCAAAGGATTTTAAGATATGGCATTTTTCAGGTATATATAGAGTGATTTAAAAGGAAGATTTATAAGTAAATGAAATAATTGAAGAATAAACTAAGATGTACACACCTGCAAGTCTCCAATCGTACCATTTGCACGTAATTTTCTTCTGGTGCCTGTACCACGAAACGCCAGTCACCGCGTTTTGTTCGCACTTTGTACAGAGGTTCGTACTGTAATCATAATGAGATAATCTTAAAATTAACGACCAACTATAGTATTTGTAGTGGCAAACAAGCTGATGTTGTATTTGGTGTTTTGTGGCCACCATCCCGAGGTAAAAGAAGAGCGCCACGGAATTAAATCTTATCATGATAATTTTAATAAGTACCCTTCATGCGTTGCCTTCAGAAAATTCTAAGATGTTATGCCTCCATACCCTGTAAGTTCACTATTGTATCTCAGCCAACTGAAATAAAATTTACAAAGAAGCAACTGTTCGAAATGGGTGAGACAGATATATCAACGTAGATGACTTTAAACTACACATTTGCAAATTTTTGAAATGAATAAACGTTAATCTGTCTAATAACTATATCTATACATAAAAATAAAATTAGAACGTCTGTTTTTTATATTGAAATAACCGTTTTTTACTACATGCATATGAATATAAATACGGTACATACACCAAAATAACATTTTTTACAATTTTTGTCTATCTGTCTGTCGGTCTGTTTGTTCCGGTTAATCTCTGAAATGGTTGGACAGATTTTGTCGCGACTTTTTTTGTGAGTAACTTAGGCTATTTTTATTTTAGAAAAATAAAATAAAATTCCACGCGGAGAATCGCGATCAAGTCGCGGGAATAGCTAGTTGGACATATTATAACTATTTTATAATATTTATATAATTATTATAATATTTATTATTTGTTGCATTAAAATAGTAGAGAAAGTTATTGGCTTACTGATATCAGTTGGTTTCTGGCCAGTTCTTCACAATTGAAGTAGCTGGCTGAATACAGCTTGTTGATAATATAATTTGTTTATATGGACTACAATTATCACTTTCATCTGCACTAACTTAAATTTATCTCTTATTAGAGATCTATATCGTTTGGTGGATTCTTAATGCGTAGTTACGGAATTGTCACAATGTCATAATTTACCAGAGGTAGTCTGGGTACGTCAGTCTCACTTATTTCAGCCACCAAGTAGCATATCTTCTATGGTGTGTTACTAGGTGTAGGTTGAGATAGGCAGTGAAATTACAGGATGTCCATAGTCCATAGTTCATGTATATCGACTACGGTTACGCTTGTCTACTATTACTATTACATAAAAATGTATAGTACAAAGATATGTCTATAATATATCGTCTCAAGAAATATATATTTACTTATATATTAAGACAAGGAAGGCCGTGAACAAGTTTGTTCCGTACAGTAACATATTAGTCACTGTCTGTTGTCATAATTACTTCAACATCCAGTACTAGATGGTATTTATCATTATATAGTTGTTGTAATATGATAGTTCAGCCAATAACTCGACTAACGTGTTTTGTTTGTCGAATATGTAAGAACAGAGGCGAACTGGTTTAAAAATTGCACGTAAGGTATTTGCAACTTTATCCACTTTTTTTACTTTATGTGAAAATTTCAATAAAACAGCCTTCACTGGGTACTAGAATAGCAAAAACTATTGCCATAGCTATTGATTCGGACTATTGATGATTGATAAGTCTAATTAATATTTCTTAATAATTTTGAACTATTAAAATAAGCATAATCATTCAACATCCTCACGGTGTCGCCAGAAAAATGTCGTGGTTATTTCCTGGTAAATATGTCATGATGGGCTACAGTCGTCCCTCACTAGTGCTGCGTCAGCATATCGGTATATGCTGTTACGCACAATTCCAATATCATCCATATAAAATCCCTATTATTTATTTATATCTATCTCTTAACTATTAACGTGCAGTATTGAAATAAAATGATTTATTTGCGAAATGCTGGTACAATACGAGTAGTTAAAATATTCATCAAGAATATTTATCATAACAGGCATGCAAATTATAACAAAGTATTCCTTTTTGTCAAATATTCTTGAACACTGTAAAAATTATTAAGCGGCAGCCAATTTTTGAGTCTGAACTTCGAAATTCATTAGAGAACTGAGATCTCAATTCTCTAATGTCTTTTGGAAAATTATTAATAAATAAATAATAAATTTATTTTATTAACTAAATAGTTTCCCATTAGTATTACAGTTAAAAATTAGTAGGTATTATATTATTATTTATATATTTTCTTAAGCTGGGTGGCTTGTAAGTATAGTTCACCTCACCTCATTACCTTGTAAGTATAATTGTACATTTCAATTGCTATATGGTGTATATTTATTTTATATAAATCTAATCGAAACATTGGTGTGTATAGTTAGTCATTAGATGTTCTTAGTTTTTTTTTATGGATGATAATGGAATGGTACATCCGCCTGCGCTAACGGTTTACGCTGGCGGGGCACCAGTGAAGGATGATAAGATGACGATGAGGTCAGGTCAGTTAGCCCATCGTGATAAATTCACCAAGATTTATCAAGATGGTTGCCGGGGGGAATCGCATGGAGGTCAACCTGACATGATGCATTGCTAGCAATAAGGTATTCTTAGTAATGTACTTACAGATACATCAGATTCGCAGCCGTCATGTTCATCTGGATCTTCTAATCTGTCTTCGATCTGAGATATTATGAGGGTAGGCTGCGACACTGTTTTCTGAAACGAGATTCTCACGTGTAAATCCAATTTTCGACTCGTATTAGTATGAAACGAATGAGAATCCTAAGTAATCAGGAATAATTAAGGTTAAAGGTAACCGTAATGACGGAAAGTACGTTAACTTTGTCTTTCAGTCATGAAAAAATCCCTATTTTTATTTTATTAAAAAAATATTAATAATATTGTATCGCGTTTATTAATATAAAAATTATATTGAATAAATATAGATAGATGGAGTTCAAGCCATAATGCGTAAAAGATGCATCACTGATGTCTAGAATTCGGGGGAGCACAAACAGCATCCTAACAACTGTTGCGATGGATATAGTTGAATTGTGGACCCAGTGCTTCTGGACGTGGACACAGATATAATAATAATAATAATAATAATTCTTTTATTGGAACTAAAAATATATAATATTTTACAAAGTAGGTATATGTAAAGTAAGTAAGTAAAATAAAATACTTACAAAGTAAGTAAATATATGAATTAAATGTATCTCTGTATCTGTATATTATAAGTTACTAACATAGTTTTATAAGTTTTTACTAACACAATATGGATGTAATCCGAATTAAAATAAATAATAATAATAAATATATATTGTGTTGTTTATGGTAGTTTTTAAATACCGAAATATTTTTTCTACTTTCTATGGCAATCGGTCGTTATTTCTACGAATCATGTTCTATTTGAGAACAAATATATTTTTTTAAATCTTATCGACATACTGACTATTGTTTTGTTTTTGAGAATTGACTGATTATGCAGGCATAACGAACCATTGATAGCGAACACGCTTAAATGTAGATAAGTAGTAGTACTTACAGATCCTTTAAATAACTTGTTGTATCTATCCTGAGGGTAGCCAGGCGGTTTAATGGAGCAGTAATTCTTGTTTTTGCATTGGCTGGGCAGGTCGTCGTCGGGGGACCCATACCTGTTGTCGGTGACACCCTTATACGGTCCCGGGTAGATGATAGGGGAAATATCCCTTGCTGAAAATAAAAAGAAGTACGAAACGGTAAGAAAATATTAATAATAATTATATTCTTCAACAATTCACACAGCACCATCTAGTCCGAAGGTGCTTACCTTGTGTTATGGGTACTAGACAACTGATATAAATATATAGTAACCTTTTTTCGTAAATACATATATAATATACATAGAAAACACCTAGATCGATACAAACAATCATACCCGTGAATGTAAGTTTATACCGTACGAGGAATCGAACTCTCGACCATCGCATGTAATGCGGAGTCAAATAATAAAATTAATCGGAGTTTGATGTTTGGAAAAAAATTGTTTTCAATTTATAATGCAACGTCAGACGTACAGACTATTTGCAAAAGTAACGTTTAATGGCTATAATACTATTTATATTTTCTTGAAGAGCAATCGTAACTTTAAAGGAGGAGAGAACACACGATCCTAAAAATCTGGGGCTATATAGTGTGTATGTATCGTGTATTACTAAATCGCCCCGTGTAAACAGTCAGAGACGTTAATATTCATTTTCTCAATAATAAAAAAATACTGTAAGGTGAGGGGGGATGGGGGAGGGTCGACGTGGAGAAGCGTCACTATGTAGCCAAGATATAATTTTGATTCTATTTCTTACTTGCCCTTGTCTCTCTTTCTTTTTCTGTCGTATAAGGTGAATTTGTGACGAAAGCGTATAGTTTTTTTTACGATTAATAAATACATCAGAAATACATCTCAATCCCGGGGCAATGTTGCAAGTTAAAAGTGGAACTGTTAGAAGCCCTCCCATAAGTCACGACAAGTTTATTCAAATAATCTCATCCATCAAGTATGCGAGTGTGTGTGTTTGTGCAGTAAATCACAATCAACAAAGGCCCTTATTATCCAACTAGCATAATATTATGTCATCATATACCTACCTGTATACTTTATGTATATCCACCATCTCATAATAATAGTTTAAGGAAAATGTATTCGTAAATTCATTAGTAGACACAATCACTAAAACTAGTTTACACCAGAAAATTAATAGTGTAGTTACTTATGGTTTAGTGGTTCAATACACCGATTTATTGACCCACAGAGGTTGTGAATACAAATCTGGTGGACATAAAAGACAGGAAATCAGTATCTGGTAAATCATATAAACATGTAAAAGTTTGTAAATAGGTAAACATAGTTTATTTCCGAAGACAGATATTTCCAGGGATACTATGTGGGTAACGTCATATTATAGTGGCTAGTTTTAAAGTATATATAAACAGAAGACAGTATTTTTTTAATGTAACATTATTGATGTTGACCAGAAATGATCTAGAAGTATTTTTTTTTTATTAGTCATTTAAGGCTATTATTTTACAACTTTTTTTTTAGTAAATGAGTCACACACTACGTTAACTACTAATTACAGTAATAATATTTTGCTGCTTATGGCAGCATACAGATCGTGTATCTACAATATTTTAAATTACCCTACATTTGTAGAGAAAATACAAATTACGAATTAAATAAAATCTGGCAGGAAAAATGTATGAAACATTAGGCCTATATACTCATCATATTTTTTACAATAAACATATATATCAATATATACCACTTACTTTGTCTTATTGATACTCCTTCAGCATGATTAAAGTAGTGCATACAAAACTGTAAACAAAGATAAGTACATAATAAATATAAAAAACGATATAAATAAAAAATCAAATCATGTTAAAATTATTATGAAACAAACTTAGGAGTAAGCGCTATTGAAACAAGTAAAATGCAGGTCGTGATGGCCAACAATTCTCGTGTAAAACAGATCACAGGAATTCACAAATATGAGAATAATAATAAGGGCATGAGAATGTATTTTTTCATTTAATAGTATTATTAATAGAATTAAAAGAAATAGCAATTGAATCGTGAGCATAACAACACAATAATATTTGCAATAATTTCACACAAAGAAGCGAATCAGAGTAAATAGAGGGACATTGGCATCATACATGTATAGTGTTAATTAGACCATTTAGTGTGTGTATGTAATCGTCATTAAGGTTGGTGCGCTGGTGATAATAGAAATAGAAATAATCTTTATTTAAATAAACTTAATATAACACTTTCAAGTCTTATTTTTTATAGTACAACTCATTCGGAACGCAGACTCATCAATACAAGAAGAACAAGCAAGAAACTTGCATGCTGCTCATTTAAATAAATGTAGTTCGCAGTTACATTTTTAAGAATTTTATCTGAATACGAAATGCTAAATAATCTAAGTTTTCTTCCCCATGAAGTACCAAGCTCAGTAATTACCTGACAATGCGTGGTTTAGAGGCAAAACACGTATCGCAATATGGATGTAGATCCGATAACGGTCGGAGTTTGATCACTAATAGGGAAGGTCATAGCGCTTCTGTTGACGATGGTCAGGTTTCCGCACTGAATATTTGTGGTTTCACACGTGCTAATAGTATCGGAATTAAATAAAATAATACAAGAAATGGACTTCCGCAAAATAACATTTAATTTTGCTGACCTCCTTGAGTCTTAAGTTACAGATAGAGAATATGTATCTAGAATATGCTTCGGTAAATCCCTATTAAATACAACTTTATGTAATCTGGCAGATAGGCTGGTTGAAACGTGACTAGATGTATAATTATTTTAGTTAGTATACAGTTTGAATACAAAATTACCTATTGTACATATATATTGAAATATGTTTTCTATAGAAAATAATACAATTGTGTCAGGGTTTCCCCTCGGGTTTGTCACTGTCTGTAATTTTTTGTTTATTGATTTCTAATTACTTTCAGTACAAAAAAAATCTTTTTGGTAAATAAGTATATACTGGTAAAACCTGGTGGTTTTATGAGACTCGATTAAGAAAGAAGCTGATGAAAATCGTAAACTTACACACATGAACAGCGGAAGGTAAATATAAATAGAAAAAAAATAAATCTTTACGCTCCTGCTACATGTATATCTTTAATCTACTCTTATCAATCTGTTAATAGGTACTGCTTAGTTCTAATAGCCTTTTTTAGTAACTTGGTGATGAATAAGGTGATAACATATTGCGTTCTTGTACTCAAATAAAACGTGGGCATGACTTATAAGAGGTTGTATTTTGTTACAAGTAATATATTCCCAGGGGGATATTGAATTATTTTATAGCTTACAACCTCTCCAATCATCCATACTTGTGCCAAATAACGTTCGTGTGATCGACGGGTTCATTCTATATTAAAAAGAATCTGTAGTTTCGTTTGAACTTTATTTCCTAACGCAATAGGCGCATTTTACTTGATTTCATATAAGTAATATATCTGACCTTGTTTTTTATGAGTCTGCATACAATTGAGATACCAAAGTATAACTCAGTCAGGATATACTCGATCTGTCTCAAAATCTACAATGTATTATGGCCGTACTACGGTTTTTTTTGCGTGTTTGTTCACTTGACCGCGAAACCGTATGACACGTACAGCGGTTAAAAACTCCAAAATTGATATTACTATAAGTCATAAATCAAAACTGTTTTCATAATAACAATTCTATATAATAAAATAGAACAGAATAGGTTTTTACAATTGATATACACTATCAATTGTAAAAACCTGTATGAATATTACGTTAAAATATATACATTTTCATTCACATTTATATTTAGGTATTTTAGGTATTATCAATTGTACCGTCTTTTACATAATTATTTCAATTTATTTTCAGAACTTACTACGACCTAGCTATCATTTTGTAGTCGATGTATCGACATTAATTGAGAATTTACATATTAGTTTTTTTTCGGATTACTCTAATGCTGTTGGCCGCAGCTGGCCTTTACAGCTTCACCGGACGTTAGGGGGCGAGTGCAGATGGCACTCAAAACCCGCGGAAGGACTTATGGAGCGGCTAAGGTCAACTATGCAACTTTAGTCTGTGGCCACCACTAGGGGTAGATATTTACAATTACATTATTTTAGTATGAAAGTAAAAATATTTCCTTTATTAAATAAAAAAAATATTTACAGAATTCTCACAAATTTCTGAACGTCGAATTCTTAAAGAATTTTTATTTTGGTAAAAAATGAAACAAATGATAATAATGTGTAAAGTAAATGATAAATGATATAAATGTGTAAAAACTTTTCAACATAGTAAATTTAATCATTTTAAGAACTGAATGTAAATATACTAGGTACTATATATTATAAAATTATGTACTTACAGTACTTTAATTTAATGACATTTTCAATAATATCTAGAAATTTATCATTGCTACAGAATATAAATTTGTTTTCTAAGTGAAATCTTAAAAGAGAGATTCTGTTCTCAGCACACTAAGTGCGTCGAGGTAGCTTTGTAGAAAGTAGTACTTGTCGTACAATTTATCTACATCTGAACTATTTTACATATCCTATAATTATAAGTAGTATCAATATTTAGAAATTAATTGCAAATTGAGGTAATTAATAAATATTTGTATCATTAATATAAATATTCCGGAGAATAATACAAATTAGACGATCCCCCAATCATCTAAGATAGTTGACCTTTATGAAGATATACCTGACAGAAATAAAACGAGTAGGTCTCAAAGTTTGTCAGCTGAAGTGTCAGTGGGCTGGGCATATCAGCCAAGTTAGTAGATGGGAGAGAGAAATTATGGGGTGGAGGCCGTGTATGGATTGGCTGAGTGTCGGGTGCCCCCTGCAATATGAACGACATCAAGAAGATGGCCGGGAGTGGATAGATGCTGAAGGCAGTCGATCGCACATGGAGAAAGGTATTAGGAAAGACCTATATCCAACAGTAGATACAGGCTCAAATAATGATAATTATTAAATAAACCTTCGTTGCTAAATGAAGGCTGAAGGCTGGGATGCCAATTTTAAAATACTTAATCTCGTACGAATAAATAAAAAAATCTGAATTAATCGGGCTCTAATAAAATCTCGTACAACTTTGTACTATAATGAAAATGTTCTTGCAGCAAAGATCGAAATGTCGTATTAGTACGATGATCTTCGTACAGTTGGCATCCCTGAAGGGTCATGTACTATTTGTTTATTCCAAGAGGAAAATAAACGTATGCCAACTCAGGTTCTGTATTCTCACACAAACCTGAAAATAAATATCCATCGTATGTTTGTATGTGTTGTTTTTAGTAGAGGTCATTCGTACCAACAACACAACTAAACCTACAAGAAGCAAATCGAGGTACTAGCTGTATTGCTACTTTGCTCGCTAGAATTCGAATAGAAAGTATTAATTTTTGATATGTAATTTTATGTATATATATTATAATTATTTCTAATCACTATGACTGATTTCCTCTTATTAATTGTTTAACCAGTTGGTTATGTATTCAATATTTTTTCTTTTTGAGTATTTAATTGAATTAGTGCTAATTGGTGGTTTGTATTCACACACTTAAACTTAAAAATGTAAAGTAATAATAAAATTATTTAAAAGAGCAACACGCAAGTTTCTTGCTCGTTCTTCTTGTGATGAGACAGCTTTCCGAACGAGCGGTAGATTAAAAAAAATGTAATGACTATTCAAAAATGCTTCAATGTAAGTTTATTTGAATAAATGATTTTCTATTCTATTCTATTATTCTATTCTATGTAGCCTATATACATAGATCGTTATATATAGAGGCGGCCTTTTAGCTGAAAGCAATTTCTGAGAAATTAATTGCCTAAATTATATTTTGTGCAACATATACTTACACTACAAGTAACTGATAGTAATTTATGTTTAATATATGTCTATTTTGTTCAATATACTTAATCAATCTGATAATAGTAGGTCATTGTATATTTATTAGACATCACCTTTGTAATACATTTTTTATTACAATCCAAGCTGTAATTAATATAAACATGTCAATAAATGTCGAAACTGGTTTTGCTTGCAATAATATATTTTAATTATGGCAGACTTATGGCTATATATGTACCAAGTGTATATTTACAAAACACAATGTTGTAATGTTAGTGTAAACATTAAGTATCCTCAATATATTATTTTATACTTTATAAGTACAAATTACGAGAGTTAATAAAAATTATAAGAGTTAATAGAAATTTTCGCTTTTAGTACGTACATACAGTTTTGATTTATAAAAGTTATTTTAACGTAAACTACTTTTTAATACAGCCAAAGCCATATAGTATCATATAAATAAAGTGAGATAGAGAAAAGAGAGAATGGAAACCATGAAGCGAGGAATGACATTATTCTGGATCAATCCGAGTGAACAACGATCATTATGAAACAATAAATAAATAAGTACTGTAATAATTAATATTAATACTGTCTGACAAAGTTTTCATAATATTATTTTAATGTATAAAAATTTTACTATCTCCAGCAATATACATTTTATTTAACGAATCGAGTAACATACTTGTGGCTGCTGAGTAAACTATAATTACAGATTCGTTAGGTATCTACTTAAATCATTGTCTAAGTATGGACATCATGGGAAATACGTTTCATTGTATAGCACCAAGTGAAATATTTAGACATAAAACCAGTTAAAATAAAACAACTTAGTCATATACAATACAAACATATGAAATTTGGTAAATATTGTAACTATACGGTCGTATGGATGGCGCAGGGAATCGTATGATTTTTTAATGGACAATTATAGTCTACGTTAACGCTGGCGGGACACCAGTGGAGGGTAATAGGATGAGCATGAGGGCAGGTCACTTAGCCAGGTTCCAGGAGGAACCGCGTTGAGGTTAAATGGGACATTACTACTAGTAATGGTTTCATTAGTCCACATTAGTAGCAATCCCCTTCCCACGGGGATTGTTAGTAAAGTTACTCTATCATTTGCAAGTTACTAATAATATATCTTTCAAATTTACCTTGACATATTTACTCTCTTGTGGTAGATAATTGGCAAAGCGACTATCCTAAGATAGTATATCAAGTCGACCTGCACTTGGTACCTCCTTGAAACCATTGTCATTAATTGCTGGTGAATTCACCATGATAGAGTAACTGGCCTAACTTCATACTTATCCTATGATCCTGTATCGGAACCTGACAGCGTTTACCGTTAGCGCAGGTATGTGCACCATTCTATAATAATATATCGGTCGTCAGAAAGGGTTGTTTACCTTTAAAAAATTTGCCCCGTAGCAAAAATATAAAATCGTAATTAGCTGCATTTGGATAAACCTCATTGTATTTTCGATTTTCGTAGGTAAAAATATCGTACAAACATTGTACAATGAATGAAATGAAATATCATCGAACAAAAGATTAATAATCTCGTACTTGTATTATGATTCTCATTTGACTAGCATATCTGCCGTCACAATATGACCAAACTGTAAGAATTATAGATAGAATACCTACCCACGTACCTATATTTAAAATAGTACCAGTTACTATTACTAGTACTACTATTACTATTCTATTTTCCTAATGTTATCTGAGGAGAAAAAGGTATAGAACTTTAGTAAATATATTCGAATATAACATCACATACTTATGAAACTCCGAGAGGCAGTGAAGTGATAATAACTAATTAAATGAGATATTTTCAATGATTAATAAACGTTTAAAAATATCTACGATAATATTATTGTCATTTACTATGATAACATCTAATGCTCTTCATCATTATAGTAATTTAAAACACAGGTACCTATAATAATAAAACAAAACGGATTTCAAAATAACGAACGCAATTCGGTCAATTTGCGTAAACATAATACCTACTTAATAGACGTGAGTTCGCAATTATGAATTTCTTGTTTTATTAACAATAATACAAAAGTAACTTACAGTTAATATAAATATTTCCATAATCATTATGCAGTAGACACAACGTCGGTTCAAAGTAAACACACTAGAATTTTTAGCGTACGTCAACTCTGTACGAGTTGCACCTGAGGACTGGATTGAACTTGAGACGAACCGAGTTATTTCGTATTACATTCATTTAAAGTGTTGTACACCGCTCGATGTCTATTTCACCATATTATGATGATGATGAAGCAGTGATGACAGAGCAAATGAATGTGATCAACGTAGATGATACGCGTGTGACGGGACGGGTACGGAATGACGTATATTTAGGTTAAACCGCAAACCATACATAGAATATAATAAAACCGAGAATGTCTGTACATTTGCACCAAATATTTTTTTATGACAAGAGTTTGTCTTTTGTTCGCACTGAGGTCAAAAAGTAATTTTGAGTATTTTTTATCTTTCTAAATGCACTGTGGTTGCTAATCTTAGTAATGGCTAAACCGATTTCAATACGATTTCATTGTTTGTATTGTTTGTATTATTATTACGTACTGGGTCATAACAATACGCTTTTTTTTTACGAAAAATACGACTTAAAGATAACTGAAAAACTGATCAGATCTTTATCAAATTTATATTGAACCACTTAAAAAAAAGAATCATACAAAACTTTTCACCTAGAACGAAGTTCTGAAGTATCCATACATAAAAAATACAATCATATTGATAAACTTCTTTTTATGAAATTAGTATTTAGTTGTCCCATTATATAAATAGATAGTATACTTATTTTTTTTTTTTAGTTGAGCCACATCAACTAACATGGCGAACTAAGATACATTCCACATCATAAGAAAATCGTCACATACTATATATATAGTCGTCATATAATATTATTGTCACTCATATGTTAGGTGAGTTAGGGAAAAATTGATAATCAATACTAATGTTATAAATGCGAAACTATGTCTACATATATATCGAAATACATATTAAAATAAATCAGTGACATTTAGTATCCCCTATTTTATATTAATTCTAAGTTTTTTTTTTACAACCAAATGTATACTATATACAACTCTCCTATGTTTAAAACCCCTCCGATTGAACCCCGTCCAATTCAAACGAGGACGCGAACCCCTAGCGGTGTCCTCAGACCGAAGTCGTATCCGTCAGGCCGGCTTCAGGCGCTCCATAAGTCCTTCCGCAGGTTTGGAGTGCCCTCTGGACTCGCCCCCTGTCGTCTGGTAAAGCTGAAAAGGCCAGCTGCTGCCAACACTATTAGAGTAGTCCGAAGCTCCCGTGTAACATGCATTCTGACGACCTCGGTGGTCCAGCGGTCTAGTACACCGCTTTACGACCGATGGTCGCGGGTTCGATTCCTTGCACGGTACAAACATTTGTATTCATGAGTATGATTGTTTGTATCGGTCTGGGTGTTTTCTATATATAATATGTGTGTATTTACAAAAAAAAAATATCTATGTATTTGTATCAGTTATCTAGTACCCATAACACAAGCTTTAGCTAGCTTAACTTGGGTCTAGATGGCGTTGTGTGAATTGTCCTAAGATTATTATTATTCTTTATTTTTTCTCAGCTATTGCTGGTTTTCTCCACACTTACGGGCCGAAACCAAGTAAGTGTAGAGTGTGTGTATGTGTGTGTGCGCGTGTATGTATGTGTGTAGTTATTGTGTGCCTTATTATTATTATTATTATTATTATTCTACAACTTTCTACAATATGCTTATGTGGTGGGTTATTATAATGCATTTAGAAGTACGTCGTCATACAAGACTCTACATGCCATGTACGTGTGCGGCCCTTTAGGGTCTTCGAGTTGAGATTCAAATTACAACGTGTAATCTTTATGTGCGGTTAACATTACAATATTTTGAGAATAAAATAGTTCTTATTGTTACATTTGTCACTATTTTATAATCATTCTGATTTATAGTTTGTTCTTAAAAATGAGTTGGTTTTGATACGTAATGTTTAGATAGCTTGTGACATAATTTTATGACGTATACCAATAATAATTATCATATGAGCAATATTATTTCTTTTATTGTTTGAGATTGTTTTATATTATTGTTTATTGCCAATTAATTATATTAATTATGACAAATTTATGTTATTGGCTTACGAATCAAACCGCAAACTTTGGGTTTCTGATAACAAACAAGATGGTGGTTTTCAATACTCTTTCGTAATTATAATAGAATGAGTAAATGACAGCAATTCCTAAGTGTTTCTGGGAGGAATGGGATTGTTAACAATGTATGATATAATGTAATGGATTCATTAATCAGTTAGTAATAGGTCTTTGGGGGAGGCCTATGTCCAGCAGTGGACGTCTTCCGGGCTGCGATGATGAATAGGTCAGGTTCAATCCACGCGGGTTGAAACCATAATGACAACTTCCTAGTGAATTTGTCACGATGGGCTAACTAATCTGAACTCATGGTTTCTATCAACGGTTTCTATGTTGATTGTCGCATGCCTAATCCTTGTTGTTAATTAAATATAAGTAAATCAATATTTATTTATAAGAGCAACACATAAGTTTCTTGCTTATCCTTCTTGTGATGAATCTGCATTCCGAATAAGCGGTAGAATAAAAAAACTTGACTATTCAAAAGTGCTTATATTAAGTTTTTTGAATAAAGATTGCCAATTTGCCACTGCCAGTGTAATCCGTTAGCTCAGATGGGAGCAACATTCCATTACCATTAATTAAAAATCTATGTTTTTCTACCACGTAACAGTAGGTACCTATCTATTGTCAACTGAAACTACCATAAAGGAGGTAAGTGCAAATACTACAGTCAGGGTACCGTTTCGAAATGTAGAGACCTCTGTTACATTTGTATCACCATCTAAAATATAGTCGATACTTTCATACTAATATTAGAAATTCGAAAGCGACGTCTGTCTGTTTGTTATCTTTACTAATAGACTGTATTTTGATAGTGGAAAATTATATTTTTTTTATGATAGATAACCTAATGGAGTCTTTGTAATCATCAGCTATGAAACACTAAAATAAAATTTTAATTTCAAAATATACAGCCAAAATGAGAACCCCTTTCTTTTTTCGAGTCGGTTTTAAAATATATCATTTCGCCCTTGACTATTCCTAGGTGTTTCCTGAGAATTAAGTTGTTATGACTCATATATCATACATATTTTATAGCCACAAGTCATTCTCCACCCGAAACACAGCTTAAAAAGCGGCTGAAATTCGTGATACAGAAGTATCTACACAAATTACTTTATACAGTCTTCCTCTGAGATATAATGCAGCCCTTATTAGGAATATCCAAGACCAAAACTGACGCCTACAATTATTACTTAACGTAAAACCATTAGTAATTCATATTATCGCACTGCGGTTTCAGTAATTACGTGCGGATGACGAATATAAAATACAAACGTCATAAATCACTATCTGAACGGTGTCTTGGAATTCCTCATTAATGGAAGAATAGTAAATGTTGGAATATTTCGCTAAATGTATCCCTATGCCCTCTGCACATACCGTATTTACCCATAAAGGTAGTAAAAATAACAATATAAAAATTTGCGTTAGCCGCTTAAGAACGTCAAATTTTTTATATTGTTCATAATATTTGCCTGTAAATGATTTGCCAACCTGCTACACCACCGAAGTCGTTCGTGATAGATCGGTAAAATGGTAAAACAGTACTCAAAATGCTGACTTTGTAAAAAATTGTCTGCTGGACTATTGCAATCTGAGTTCAGTGCCTACTAGTCAAGTCAGGTTAGTATAGTAGTCTAAAGTGACAAATCCATCAGGACTAATCTAAGATAGTTTCCAGTTCTTTTTAATGGATAATAATGGAATGTTATACCTGTTTGCGGTAACGGTTTCCACTGGGGAAGTGGAGGATGATAATATGAATATCAGGTTCAGGTTACTTAGCTCATGATGGAATAATCTAAAATAGTTTCCAGCTTTCAGGACTAAGTGAAGGTCGACCTGCCATGGTCCAATACCAGGAATAGTTTAAAAGATCCAGTTTCTATCAATTTTATTCTTGCCTTTTCAACTCCTACCTATGCTTCGTAAACTATGTAGCAGTGGAATTAGAGGGTATATAGGTGAGTCTGGATCGGGAACATAACGATTTAAAATCTTTAATAGTAATAAATGTGTATATGTCCCAAAAGGGTCAAAAGAAGAAGGAACTAGTCAAAAGTGACATATAAAAACAAATATCAAAAATACAAAGTTTATAAAAAGAATGGTGGACAAACTGCCAGCAACAGTAGGAATGTATGTCTGTTCTGTCTAGTCGTATGCCTCTTGCATAATTTTCTATTTTGTTCGATCTGTAGCATAACTTGTCCAGGTTGGTCCTGCCGTTTTTTTGAAGTCATCAGACCATCTGGCATCTGGTATGCCTACCCTTCTGCTTCCATCCTAGGTCCCTACATCATCGGACCAAGGCCACTTTAGCTGCGCGATTTTTTCGATGGGCAATGCATAAAAAGTACTAAATATATATTATGTTCTGTCCATGGCTATGTTCATGTATATAGGCGATTCTAAGGTTGACATTTTCTATAAGATGGTTCATAAGGTAATTTTCCATTCGAGTTAAATAAATCAAAATCGTAATTCTAGTTTTCAATTCGAGTTACTTAAATAAAACAACAACATAATTATAATTTACTGTAGAAAATGTTAAATTTAATACATTCTCTTGTATATATTATTACATTTGATTTACTAATGATCCATATTATATACCTTATATATGTATTTATCTGTTAATTAATATTAATTGTGTTTTACATAATGTTGTTTATAATTATTATCTATTGTATACTGCGGTTTGAAACAAACCAACCAATGTAATCATGTTATCAGTATTATTACATTACTAGTTTATTTTATATAAGTACCTACGTGAATCAATTAATAATAATAATAATAATATTTCCGTACATTTCACACAGAGCCATCGAGTCCCAAGCTAGCAGAGCTCGTATAAACACCCAGATTAAAATAAATTATACTCATGAATACAAATGTTTGTACCGTGCGAGGAACAAAACACCCGACCATCGGAAATAATGCTAAATCGCTAGACCACAAGTACGTTGTGATATTATATAACTCGAAGGAAAGCACTGTGGTCTTTTTGACAGGACTGCTTGCAACCAATTTGCTTAGGGACCCCTAAGAAGAATAACTAGGACGTACAAAATAATTGACGATAGACTGATACGCCAAAAAATACGACAGACCATTAAGAAATTACATAAAAATATATCGTATTTTTTTAATGGATGATATTTAAATGGTTCACCTGGGTGCGCTAACGGTTTACGGACGGGGCATCAGTAGAGGGTGATAAGATGAATATGAGGTCAGTTAGTCCACTGTTGATAAATTCAGTAGGAATTTATCATGATGGTTTTCAGGGGGAACCGCGTGGTGGTTAGTCTGACACACACATTTCTAACAATCGTCTTCGTCCTATTATATATTATTATTAGAAATGTTCTCGCTTTCAATTTATATCGTCGACATTCGTAACGATCTTGTGTCCAGCAGACCTAAAAGAGCAATATATTTTATCAGTTATTGAGTCTACACTCATCGGGGTGTCGCGGTTTGGTCGCCGATGAGTCGACACTAGGCTTCCGAGCTGTACCAGAACTCTATTCAGCGCCTGATGATGCCTCGTTCAGAGGCGAAACACGTGTCGCGATATGGGTGTAGACTCAATAACGGTCGGAATTTGATCGGCATTCGAGATGGTCGTAACGGTAGTCAAGTTTCCACACCGAATATTTGTGGTCTCACGCATGCTAATTATAGCGGAATTAAACAAAAGAATATAAATCCATGAAGTACTAAAAGAGCAATACGCAAGTTTCTTGCTTGTTCTTTTAGTGGTGAGACAATATTCCGAATGAGCCATAGATTAAAAAATGTGATGACTACTCAAAAGTGCTTTAATGTAAGTTTATTTGAATAAATTATTTTCTATTCTATTCTATTCCTTCTGTTATTAATGTGGTTTAGAAGCCACGTTGCTAGAAATGTATTCTATCACACCTGTCACACTTTACCTTTGTTTAATATTTTAAATGGTTGAGGAATGATTCCCTCACCTGCAGTGAAATTACAGGATAAGACTCATGACATTAATTCTCCGGAATGGCAACGCATGAATGATATCGCGGGCGTCACATGACAATATAACATCACAGATAACATAATATGACATAATAACATGTATCTATTCTCAATGGACGGCCTCGGTGGTCTAGCGGTTTGGCACACCGATGATGCGGGTTCGATTCCTCGCACGGTGCAAATGCATCGGTCTGAGTGTTTTCTATATATATTATGTAAGTACTTACAAAAAAAAAATCTAAGTATTTATATGAGTTGTCTAGTACCCATAAAACATGCTTTGTTTATTGTGGGACTAGGAGCTGTGTTAATTGTCCAGGGTTAAAAAAAATATGGCGCTTACCATCAAGTACGTGAACGTACGTACATAGATCTCTAGTATGAGCTTGTTTCCTATTTCAATTGTTGAAAAAAACTTTTATATCATGCTCCTGAATATTTTGATTAGCAATATTTCTCATTAACAATAATTTGCTCAATATAGACCTCACACATACCATACACATACCTACATACCTCATAGAATAATATTCGGTAATGATTTAGGTATAGGTAATTCATAGGTATATAATAATACTTATACTAATTACAATTATTATTCGCTTATTAATTTTGTAAAGTAGATATTTTATATATATTCAATGTCTTTTTTATTTAGGTACAATATGACTAAAACTGACTGCTCACCTGACGTAATGTGGTAGGTATATAATAAAATAATGATAACTGACCAAATATCTTAATTTTTATTGATGGCCTCGATGGTCTAGCGGTTCAGCACACCGCTTTACTTCCGATGGTCGCGTGTGCGATTCCTCGCATGGTACAACTATTGCAATCATGAGTTTGATTGTTTATATCAGGCTGTTTCCTATGTATATTATATATGTATTTATGAAAAAAATGTATTTATATCATTTGTCTAGTACCATAACACAAGTTCCGCTTATCTTGTGCTCTAGATTGCGATGTGTGATTTGTCCTGGGATAATATTATTTTCTAAATATATAAATAATTAGCTGTTCCGCATCTGAATCAGATTTTCCCCATTATTGTAACATAGTTCATCCCAGCACTGCTCCTATTAGTCATAGAGTGAGATTCTAAATCCCGTAGAATACTAAATACTTCAATATAAAGGCTAAAAAAATTCAAAATCGGTTCAATTCTACTACAGATCCTACTCACCCCGAACATCAATACTCATAAATTTTAGCTCTTTAATGTTACTATAGATGTATAATCATCATCATCTGCTTCTCCCTTATCCAAGTTATTTCTCTTCCATTCATCCCCGTTCGCAGTCATCTCGTTATTTACTCCCATTGTTACCATCTAATCATTCACACAGTCCATCCATTTCTTTTTCGGCGTTCCTCTGCACTTATAACCATCCACATTCATATGTAACACCTTCATTAAAATTTTATCTTTATTTCTACACATTACATTAGAACGAGGTTTGCAATCGATTCAGACAAGCGAAGATGAAATGATTGAATATAAATCTAGTGTGTTTTGTCATCTTGAAAACATCGTATTGATGTATCTATAACTTATCTGTATATTGTATTAAATGTGTTTTTATATTATTTTATTTTGATTAGAAATATATTTTGTTTATCTTATTCTACGTTATTTATCATCTCTATAGTTATCTCTAACGCGGTAACCCCTAACAGGAATAAAACTGATAAATTTCGCTTAAATTGCCCGAGGCTTCAGTCAAAGGAAAGGCATTGATTATGATGAGACATTCTCCCCTGTAGTGCCCATAGCTCACTGAGACTGTTGATAGCTTTGGTAGCGCAAAATGGTCCAGATATCACATGGATGTCAAGAACATCATAAATGGTTTAAGAAGTGTTTATATGAGGCAATCAAACCTGCGACCAAGAAAAAGGTAAAGAAATCATGATGTCTATTAAAGAAATCTTTGTATGGTTTGATTAGGCACCATGTTTTATTTTAATTGGAACAAATTAAGTTACATTACCGAGCTAGAGAGCGTTTTATAAAAAATGAACGACATATACAAGGAGAATAGAGAAGAATTAATTATATTTTATAATTATTATCATTCTTTTCAAATGAATACATATTAAATTACGTATGTCAAAATATTAATACCTTTAAACAGTTGTTCTTGAAAATTTACATTATAAAGAGAAATGTTTCAAAAATGATGGGTAATTATTTTGAAAAACCTCGCAAATTTCTGGAAAAACCAGTCGAACCTATTTTCATGGTCAACATTTTATAATATAAAAATTAAATAATTTAATATAAATTATTAATTTATTGTGTAATTGTTTTAATAAAATAATGAACAAAATGTTATTCAAATTTGCAATTGTTAATATTGGCAACGAAGTATCCTGAGTATTTATAAACGTTTCTGATATATTGTTCTGAACGAGGAACAGTTCAAGGTTTCTATTACTTTTAAATTTATTAATAAAGTGTGTATTTATTTTAGTTTGCCGTTGTCAGGAAAGCTCAAAGAATGTTGCCAAACAGAGTGAATGTTGTTTTCTGGAAGCTGTCTTTTTAAAGCGTTTCTAGAGATTTTAACTAACCTGTGGAACTTGATAGTCAGTTGGTCAGCAAATAATCCAGTACACCATCAGCAAACCAAACATGTTATGTACGTTATCACTGTGTCGAGAGACTCTAGAGAATGGAGTAATAGATTTGAAATATTTGGAGATAATTAATGGTGGATATTATGACAAAGGCAGAAACAGAAATCATAGTTCTGTCCAGTGAGATGGGTGTTGTGGATTAGTTTGTGTGTGAGATATATGTTATCATAAGAGAAAGTCTGAAGGCAACGATTGAGGAAGATGTTAGAACGAGGTTTGTAATCGATGTCTAGACTTGCTGGTAAAATGAAGTATGTTTGAATATTTGAAAAGAGAGTGTGTTTATATATATGCATTGATGTATCTATAACTTATCTGTATATTGTATTAAATGTGTTTTTATATTATTTTATTTTGATTAGAAATATATTTTGTTTATCTTATTCTACGTTATTTACTTGAACACCACTATAGTTACTCTGTTAACGTGAGCAAGTTTAGCACACCACTTTACTTTCAATTACATACCCATAGACAGACAAGCGATTCAGACAAGCGAAGACAAATGATTACTATAAATCTATGTATTCATGTAATTGGAAAACATCCAGACCAATGTAAACAATCATACTCATTGGGGGATGGTAATTGTTAGTACTGTGGACCAATGATCTCATTGCTAGCAATGTATCATCTCAGGTTGATCTCTACGCGGTACCCCTGGAAGCTATCGTGATAAATTTCTGGTGAAATTGCCTGACCTGACCTCATGCTCGTCTTATCATTCTCCACTGGTGCCCTGCCAGTTAGGGTAGGCACCATTCCAATATCATAATTTAAAGAAAATCATACAAATGTTTAAGTATGTGTATCGTGCGAAAATCAAACCTGCGACCAATAAAAGCAAGTCTAAACCGCTAAATCATGATGCCGGCAGGAATAATTGTATTAATTCATGTTTTATTTTAATTTAACAAATTAATTTGGTAATATTACCGTATGCCGTTTTATAGAAAAATGAACGACACACTGGGAAATAATGATAATTAATTATATTTTATAATTATTATCACTTTTCAAATGAATACATATTAAATTACGTATTACGTATTAATACCTAAACATTATACAGGAAAATTTACATTATAAATTGAAATGTTTCAATGATGGGTAATTCATTTTGAATCCTCACATGCTAAACTCGAACCTATTTTCATGTGAAACATTTAAATATAAATTAATTAAATAATTTAATATAAATTATTAATTTATTGTCGTAATTGTTTTAATAAAATAATGAACAAAATGTTATTCAAATCTGCCATCTTAATATTGGCGGTAAGTATTTATAAACGTTTCTGATATATTGTTCTAATTTTTTTTATTCTATTACTTTTAAATTTATTAATAAAGTGTGTATTTATTTTAGTTTGCCGTTGTCCGAGGAGAGCTCAAGAATGAAACAGGTATGTTGTTTTCTGGTTATCATATTCTCTTATCTGTGATTTTAACTAACCTGTGGAACTTGGTGTTGGTCACAAATACCCCGTTTTTGCAATATTCTCTATGTTATTACTTAGTCGTGTGTCGGGTGAAACCGCGGGAGCAGCTAGTATAAAAATAATTTATAATTACTGATGGAATTCCTTGTTACAGAAACAGAAATCATATTTCCTCCAGAATGTGACGGTCAAGATATATGTTATCATAAACCGAAGAACTATCCAGAACATAAATTCCTTAGCGTTGTAAAGGACTTGGTGAGTAAAAAATCAGTAGCTTAGAGTTCATAACTTGTTTATATATATGCACATATGTCGGTACCAAATCGTAGATTTCATCATATCATAATTTACAAAGCACTTTACCAGATGTAAATTTTAGCCAAGCATCTTATGTCTCAGTGACGACTATGGAGCAGCAGTTTAGCACACCACTTTACTTTCGATGTTCGCGGCTTCCATTTGCACGGTGCAAATATTTTCATGAGAATGGATGTTTATATCGGACTGAGTATTTCCTATGTATATTATTGACTTTATAAAATAAAATGTATTTATGTATTTGTATGAGTTGTCTTGTATCCATAACATAACCGCAGCACAGTTTTTTATAGATGGTGAAGACGTTGTGTGAGTTGTTTACAACAGTTCGGCGGTTTCACAATTTTTAGTTTTTGTGTAATAAATTATTTATATGGTTTTAATTTGTATACACAATAAAGAGTTTATTATTATTTTTTATATTTAAAATAAATGTACAATTGGCAGGATTAATACCATTATGAAGATTCTCATGCCGAATATGTGGTATGTTTTTTTATTTTTTATTTTATATGTTAGGAATATTGGCACATTACAAAATATAATAAAAATGCCTTTTACTATTACACACAAGGGTTTAGTACTGTTTTCATTACTTAATTGATTTATCATTCTTTTGATATTTACCTAACTTAGGTAAATATGTCTATACTAGTAATGTTATTACAGTATGTTAAATTGTATAATTTCATTATTTTAGAAAAAGCAACCGTTTGGAATCAGAGTCAGGGATTTGTTGCATCCGGTCGTACAAACTGACCACTATAAACAGGAAATAACAGAAGTGAAATGCATGTAAGTACACTTCCAAATCATTACATAGAATATAGTTAAATATCAGGGATGTTAGGGATCTCCGTAACCGTAACCGAAACTATTGGATATCCGCTATAAAAAAATATTCGTAACCGTAACCGATCGTCGTGGAGATCTTTGGGGGAGGCCTATGTCCAGCAGTGGACGTCTTTCGGGCTGCGATGATGATGAACCGTAACCGAATGCGAAATAAAAGTTACAGATAATTGAGACACGTTATGTAACCATTTTAATAGTTATTTGAATTTAATTTTTGAAATTTCTAAATAAATTAATATCCGAAACTAACGAATGATCCGAAACAATTTCATATCCGCATCCGTATCCGGTATAATAATCATTCCTATATCCGAAACCTATCCGCATCCGATATTTCATAACCATAACATCTCCTAAAATATAATGAAACTACCTAATCGCCCCGGCTTCGCACGGGTGTACACTGTACATGTATTATATATATATAAACATTCCTCTAGTATCACTCTATCTATTTACAAAAATAGCTGCAAAATTCGTTGCGTAGTTTTAAAGATTTAAGCATACATAGGGACAGACAGACAGCGACTGCAACTTAGTTTTTTACTAAGTAATGATGAAGTTGCGTCCGCCTTCTCTTCGATTAAATCTTTTAAACTACGCAACGGATTTTAATACAGGTTTTATCAATAGATAGAGTGATTCAAAAGCAATGTTTATGTGTAGTATAGATATACACATTGCTCTTGAATTACTCTTGAATACACCCGTGCGAAGTCGGGGCGGGTAACTAGCAATATTATAAACGCAGAAAAATTTATTGGATTGATTAGATATTAACTAATCATTTACAGTAACACTTATACGTCGGAATAATGCTCAGTCAATACAGATTAACGTCAAGGAGTCGAGACAGATTCTTCAATCTGTATGATACCTCAGCATACATTGCATAAACATAATTATTCTAATATAATCTACGATGAGAATTTTTCTTTTTAGACTTTTCTGAGTGTTTTCTCTTAAACAATTCTAAAAATTAAGTTTCCCGGTAGAGGGGTGGAGATAAGGCAGTGAAATTACATTTATATATTTTTATATATTTTTTTTTATATATTTTTATTGATACCAATTTAAGTAGTTACAGTTATTCTCCTTATAAACTATTACATTTTTGTTAAATACACATCATACATATAATTTACCAGTAGCATCTATACTACCGAGCCTGTATCATAGATACTACCTTCTTCCAGCGACAAATAGGTAAAAATTGAAATGTTGCAATTGCGTGGGTAGATTTACATTTCAACTTGTACAAAATATGAATATGGCGCTAACACTCACTGCTGACTGCGTTGCCACTCGAAATGCTTAATTATTCCGAATGGCAACCGTCATCTGATAACTGTTGGCCGTTGTGCCTTCATAGAGTCATTTCTATAGTCAGTTCTCTAACCAGATCTGTGTACATAGACGATGGTTGCTACTTACCATTAGGTGACCGTCAGGTTCATGTTCATTTTACAATATAACAATCATACACATGTTTCTCCTCACTTCTGTACTACATACTTAAATTCTACAATACTTTAGTGTAAACCTGTTTCTGAGATAAGCTTGCACAAATACATAGACAAGTTGCATAAATAGTTTTTTTTTATATTTAAAAACAAGTATCGACTACCTCTGTGGTCTAGCGGTTTAGCACACCGCCTACTTCTGAGGTGGCGGGTTCAATTCCTCACACGGTACACATTTGTGTTTATAAGTATGATTGTTTGTCTTGGTCTGGGTGTTTTCTATGTATATTATGTATCACGTATCTATGTATCTCTATTAGTTGTCTAGTATCCATAACATAAGATACAATTAACTTAGAACTAAATGAGGCTGTGTGGATTTTTCCCAAATAAAAATATTATATAATCATTACATGTTTGATTTTCTTGACTATTTCAGAAAAGAATCATCATCATGCATGGGTGGCGTACTGAACACAGTACTGTACAGTGCAACATGTGCTACCAAGTATAGTGAAATACAATTACACACATTGAATCCCAAGACTAACCAGCTAGAGAAAAGTACCGCAAGAATTGCTGTTTGGTGTTATTGTAATATTGTTAACAGTAACGAATAAGTAAAATAAAAAGTTTCATTATTTATTTATATTTGACTTTTATTTATTCTAATCATTCTTATTCATACTCGTTAAAGAATTTTGTTTATATTATTAGCATTATATTTATTCGTTTTTTTTTATTTGGGTATCCATTAAAGGATAAAGGATAAAGGCCCTTTATAACCTTTTGTTTTTGGAACATTCTAATGCTGTTGGCCGCAGCTGGCCTTTACCTAAAAAGGCCTTTGCCTGGGTGATCTAGTGATTTAGCACACCACTTTACGTCCGATGGTCACGGGTTCGATTCCTCGCACGGTACAAACATTTATATTCATGAGTAAGATTGTTTGTATCTACGTATATTAGGTATATATTTACAGAGAAAAGTGAGTCTACTACCCGTAACACAAGCTCAGCGTAACTTGGAATTAGAATGCGCTGTGTGAATTGTCCAAGGAAATTATTATATTACTATATCGTGAAATAAATAATGTACAAAATTTTTTTAAGAGACTATAATTATATGATACGTAGATTAAAGACAAATATAATAAGACGTGTGATGAGTATACAATTTACTGAATAATGTCATATATAAACATAATAATTACTACAATGATGATTTCCACGGCTATATCCTACCAACGTACCGCTCGCCACCGACAGGGAATTCACCACCACACCACACTGGAACTAGGTTTGCCAACTTTTTTACAAGAAATAAAGTAAATTCAGGCCTATAAAGAAAATTAAACAGTATTTTAGAAAAAATGAGCAGTATTTTATTTATTGTTTTAATTACATATTTTTTAGGGCTCCTCGCGCTACTTAATCATTTAAAAACTTTTTTAAAAAATTTAAAACAATCTCCCTGGACAATTCACATAACGCCATTATGTGAATTGTCCAGGGAGATTGTTATTATTATTATTACATGACGCCATTTTTGACGCCAGAAAAGAAATTCTGTCGAGACTAGACTAAGCAATGTAACAGACATTAACTACACGTAAAAATAAACATTGAACTAAACATTATGGAACAAATATACATAATTATGATGAATATTATTATTTTCCTCATAACCTGAATTAAATATAATCTTTATTTATAGCAAGCAATAGCCCAAAACGTAAGTTCAAGCTTCTAGCTTTAAAAATGACAATATAACCTTTTATCTGCCCTTTCAACCCGTTACAACACTTTTTTATCATTAATAACTAGCATATGATCTTCCTCTGGGTTTAGAATATCTGTGCACCAAAACTTCCTTAAAATCGGTTCAGTAGTTTTCGCATGAAACAGCAACAGACAGACAGTCCGAGTTACTTTAGCATTCATAATATTAGTAACGAAGTAAGGATAATGTATATTAAAATTAATATAAATGCAGCAGACCGCACCAAAGGACATTATTACCGACATGACTGACGTCACCGATAATAGCGCAGTTACAGTGACAGTAGCACATGTCATTTTATACGTCATAGGACAGATAAGTGAATATTACATAGAATATGGTTACATTACGTGTGAAACCATCTCATGCGTTGTATCCCACATTTCCACATCATCAACAAAGGACGCGGCACGTCATAATTACATTTGTTATTTGAAATAAATTACCCTGGACAATTAATATAGCACCATCTAGTCCCACGGTAAGCAGAGCTTATGTTATGTGTACTAGACAACTGATATAAATACTTAGACATATTTTTTGTACGTACATTCCAATTATACATAGAAAACGCCCAGATCGATACAAACAATCATACAAAGATATATGAATTTGTACAGTTCGAGGATTCAAACCCGCGACCATCCGAAGTAAAGCGGTGTGCTAAACCGCTCGACCACGAGGCGGTTAATTATTGTCAAATTTAAGCTTCAAAATTATTTCTAATATAAATAGTCTCTGTGGACAAGGCACTGACGATGGCAGTCTGCGCCGATACCCTTCTAGTACCATCGGCCAGTAGTCCTACTTCATGAAGGAATAAGGTTAGTTGGGAACAAGTTATTTAAAAAACAAAAATTTGCTGTTTGCATTAATGAAATATATTTTTACAAATTAATAAATTAGTAAGTACATTGTTATCTCATTAAATAAAATTACATTATTATAAAATAATTATAATTAAATATAGTGGAGTTAATAAATGCTAACATTACAAAATAAGTAGTGTAAAATATTGCATGTCGCAAATTCACAATATTAATATGAATACATAATTAAATATCATTATATACCTAATGATTTATACAATATGACATACATAATTATAATTATATAGTAGAAATGTAGCGGTAATTTTCATGAAACTACATTACATAATAATAATATTCCAGGATAATTCACGCAGCGCTATTTATTTAAGTAGAGCTTGTATTATGACAATTGATTAATAGATAAATACACGTTTTGATACATATATAATATACAAAGTAACACCTAGATACAAAACACTCATATACACTAATACAAATGTTTGTATCGTGTGAGGAATCGAACTCGCGACCATCGGAAGTAAAGCGGTGTGCTAAATAACAAATATTATTTCTTAAACTCTTCTTGCTGCCACTTGCTAAGGACCGTATGAGAGAGTTAACTTCTTTTAAAGTACAATAAAAGAATTGAAAAATAAACCTAAACGATAATATTAATTACCAACATTTATAGATAAAATAATTTAATATAAATTTAATTCATAATAGTTAGCTGCCATAATCTCGTTCATATATAGTAAAATATAATAGTATGAGCTAATATTCTTAGTTGGGACCAAGAGTAGAGTCAGTCACTATTTTGCTGTAATGTTGCATTACTAGCTACTCGCCCCGGCTTCGCACGGGTGTACATGTATTATATATAGAAACCTTCCTCTTGAATCACACTATCTATTCAAAAAAACCGCTTCAAAATCCGTTGCATAGTTTTAAAGATTTTAGCATACATAGAGACAGAGAGCGACAGCAACTTTATTTTATACTATGCAATTATAATGATCTTATACTAGTACTGCTCTCTCATACAAATATATGTGTATCTTTTTGCATACATGTATGTACTGTCATTTACGATGATTGTTCTATAATATATTATATATCTACTATGTTCATTGCAACTGCCTGCAGTAACAAATAGAAAATAATACCTTAATATGTTGACACTTTTAACCATAAAAGCATTTTTAATACATCTTATGACAATTGGCGATATTGAATCAATCATTATGAGAAAAAAAAATACTGTCAAAAAGCTGAAATGTTAGCCATATTAGAATTTAAGTCAATTACTCAAAACATTATTATTATTTCAATAAGTATTATTTTTTCCTATAATATATTTATAATAACATGACTCATTCCCGCATAAAATACTATTGATATACGATGATGCAATGGCGCAAATAAAAAAATTATTCATTTAAAAATTCTTACTCTACGTGACTACGGATTGACGCAGGAAATATGCTATACAGTCATAGTTGCTGAATTTGCTTGTACAAACTAATGCATTGTGTGACAATGACAATACGTTACTCTGTCCATATAAAGTAGTATTCATATTTTAAAAATGGAAACCGCAGTACAGATTACTTCCTTTATAACACTAAAATGTGCCTATGACGTAAATATTACGTCAATATATTAATCTACAAATATTAATCAAACAAGGACGTCTTTAGTTGACTAATACTCTTCGGTACTATTTAAATATAAATAAATTCGAAATCAATTAAATAATTTTCTTTTTATCCACTCATGTGATGTTTCTATTCTGACCATCCGTCTCGATTTAAGGACAGCCTCTCTTTTTTGCTACATATCCAGCTATCTCTAGCCAGAACAATACTGTTCAGCATTTGCAAATCTGGTGTACTTCGGTAACTGTTTATGTTAAAAGAAATACACGCATTTGGACGCTTTGGGACTAAAAAATATAAGATTATGAGAACAATACAGTCAAGTCTTTTCATTTCTTTCATAAATGGTATCTTATATTCTTATATTTTTAGGCGCCCACGTTGACTAGAATAAAATGGTGGCATCAGAAGGTCGTGTTTTCTATGCTTTCTGTATTTCATCACTTCACTGTGGAACGTAATATGTACCAGGGAATCAGACTCGTAATGATCTTTTAATTTCTAGTACAAGCTCATAAGTTTACAAGCACAGTATACTGGTATACCACCTTTAGCCCTCACGCTTTCCATTTTGGTGCCATTTAGAGACAGAACCAAGAAGGCATAGTCGAGGTATGTCTCAGCGCAAGCGAGATGGATAAATTTGAGTTCAGTCTCAGTAAAATGCTTCGAGTCAGAGGTGATACGTCCGGGATACCTGTTGATGAAAAAAATATATAAAATGAATATAAAATTTTCATAAAACTAAATATAATAATAATAATAATAATATAGTATCTGATTAGTTTCTGACTAGTTGTACAAAATTATTTTAAACAATATAGAAATTAAAACAGAACAATAAATGCATAAAATAGTTAAGCATTACTACAACTATTATTAAATTATTCAATCAATATAAGAAAAATATACACAGTTTAGTTGTAGGGATAGTGATAAAAAAAACACACATGAGACCGAAATATCCTATGTGAATAAACACACATGAGACCGAAATATCATATGTGAATAAACACACATGAGACCGAAAGATCCTATGTGAATAAACACACATGAGACCGAAAGATCCTATGTGAATAAATGAGTTTGACTTGATTCGATTCAATCTGTAGATTGACACTTGCTTAAGTAATTATGATTTTCAATGTGCATGAATTATTGAATTTTAGGTCCCCGTAGACAATAGCAGTTTTACTGATGAGGCGTATGCATATATGTATATATTTCATACAATAAAAAAACTGTACTCACAAGCATTCTTCAATTCGAACGACTTGTTTGAACTTCTTTGATTGTATAACGTACCGCACTTGATCGTTCTCGTCAATTATTTGGTAGACAGGTTGATACTGTAAATTAATAAATGATACATAAGTTTTTTAAACTCATAATACATATTTTTTAAACTATAATATAAGCTGGGTGACTAGGATAGATGGAGTGGAGAATGATACGATAAGCGCAAGTCAGGTCAGTTAGCACATTATGGCGAATCCGTTAAGAATTTATCACGATGGTTTCCACGGGAAACTGCGTGAAGATCAACCTGACATTAGTAGTAATGAAGTCATTAATAGAAATAGAAATATAAATAATCTTTATTCAAATAAACTCATTACAAGCACTTTTGAATAGTCATATTTTGATTCTTCTATTAGTCCACATTACTAACGATCCTAAACACAGGTTATTGATGATCTATATTGGCCTATCTAGGCGGCCGTACCCTCTTTACTGTTTCGTACATTTTTATTCTAAAAGCAATTGTAACTACAGTAACTTGAATCAATAAATTTTATTTCATTTCCATCCTCTTTCCCTCTAGATTCTCCTATTTTAGGCGAAAAGATAATTGATTTGTAAGTTATGTTTCAGTTGATTAGTTTTATACAGTGTCCTAGAGTCTCATATTTCTGCTGCCAAATTACTTTTTTTATAAGCTGTTTCGGTTGAAGCGTGAAGATAACACTAAAAAAAAATAATGGAGACACTAAGGTAATCGAAGTCAAAAGGTTTTCGTGAATAGGTCCCAAAGAGATAGATAAACAAAGATGTATACTTTCCCATGAATAATATTAGTATATATCTTAGTATTAAGTGTAAATAAAAATATATAAAACACTAACATAGCTGTTTTTCTCGCAATCATTCTCGGAGTCGGCGTTGTCACTAATTCTTTTGGTGATAAAATCGTCATCCTCGTTCATATTGTAGTCCTGAAAAGTAACAGACTAAGAATTATTTATTTAATCATTTTTCGGTACAAACAATCCTATGTGTTAGTTAGGTAAGGTCGAAACTTGGACCGTTAAAACTGTGAAACAGCTTTCACAAAGATGAATTTTTAAAATAAGAATTCTCGTTCATCTTAACGGACCTAGAAGACCAGAATTTATTTTTTAACCAAAATATTTTAATAACCTTTTTATTATCGGTAACACTTAATTATTATCAGTTGTTTTTTTTCTGGACATCGGTAAAATTTTCCCATACTATCCGGACCCCACCTAAAAATTCATACCAAGACTGGTCTATTATCTAATTGTGTACCAAAATTCATATGCGCCTCATAGTTTTTGCATGAAAGGTAAATAAACAAAGATCTATTCATGGGTGTTACTGACATTAGCGTTTATAATTAGTATGCTTCTGCGTTTAATAAAAATGTAGGTATATATGGTATACCTGCGTAATTATTATTGTTAAGGCTGAAAATTGTTGGACATCTTCACATAGTAAATAAAGTATTAAATATTTACAACGACATTGATAACTAAATACTAATATATAAACTACCATCCATGTACTGCATTTAACGAAAATTACGTGAAGGAGTATGAAATTTGGGACAGCTAAAGTTTATATAGAGAAGAAATGAAAAAGTTTTTATTTTTCAATGAAACATTACAAAAGTGAATAATACGTTTGGCATATTTTTGTATGCGATAATACGTTTGGCAATAGAATGCAATAATGTTCTTACTTAAACGAAATACGGTTGAATTTCGACCACGGGGGACCACTACTTAATATGAAAAATTCTGTATAACTCACATAGCGTCCTTCTAAATCTAATAAAACAGAGTTTTACTAAAAAGAGAGACAAATATGTATGTCTTAGACAATTAGACAGTCTTGGTAGTCTAGTCTAGCACTCCGCTTTCTTATCATGGTCGTAGCTCTATACCTTGCACGGTATAAACATTGGTATTCCTGACTGAAATTGTTTGCATTTTCTGGTAGCCTTCTATGTATATTATGTATTTAAATATTTACAATCATTGATACTATACGCACCACAAACTTTGTCTAACTTGGAACTGGAAGGCGCTGTATAAATAGGCCGTTGCCATTATTAATATACATTCACAAACTACGTTTTGGGTCGTAAAGATTTGAATTCAGAACAGTTGGGTAACGACGAACTCAATAAAAATCTATAATATGTAACTCACTAGTTCTACGAGCATGTCATCTATGAGTTCAGTAGGATAGTATTGGGAACGCGAGAAGCAGTAATTCTTCTTGCAGTCTTCAGGTAAAGTAGCTGAAATAGGAAGCAAATATTAGTCAGGTATTGGAAATAAAAACAATTATATCACGGCGTCTATATTTAATATTATAACTATAAAAGTGTGCCTGTTTGTCAATCTGTTTCTTACATTTACACGACTACTTGACCGCACGGATCTTGATTAAATTTTACATAAAAGTAGATCATGCCACAAGGACGAATATAGGTTATTTTAGGCTATATCTTAAAAAACAAAAAGTTGAGGGTATTCATTCATTCATAATTTAAGAGTCACGCTCTTAGAGGCAAATATAAGTACCTTTTATTACACAAATATAATTACCACTTCATCATTTTTTTATTTAAATAAATAAATTTTGTTTTACGAATACAACACCAACTACTAATTATGGTGAATATATTCATTATCAATTTCAAATACAATCATCATAATTAATTCTGGTTCAGTGAAGACATCGTTAGACGTACGTAATAAACTCAATTAAATTTGACTTCTCATATATATCTAGAATAATAAGCAGTATAACAATAACAAAATTACCATTTTCATAGCTATAGATGGTAGGTTTTCCATGAGTAGCGCCAATAATCACAAGGACGACCTGAAATTATACATGTATTCACCATAAATATACAGTAATATAAATATTATACAACCACGACTGTTATAACAGACGGGGTTATCAGAGGAGAGTGAACTATTTTCGACTGTTGGCGTCGTAGGAGACGCAGCAGTATGTGCTCAAATTTCGCTGAATATTTGAATTCAGCTAAATTACAGTACCAGATTAATTTCTTCAGAAATATAAATCGACACATATTTATTTGGTGTCGACCAGATTTGTATCTTGGTCCTTTGGATCCAAGTAGAAATAGTTAACCACTAGGCTACCATGTTAATACAGTATACCATATTTATGTACATACTAAAATACACATACAGTTTTAGAGTTACTATAAAGATATTTGTGGAATACAGACCACTTAGTCTATAATGTATTTATAAAGCTTTATATTTTGAAAACCAAATTCTAAATTGTAACTTCATTTATTGATCCTCTCGGTTTCTCTTCCTGGCTCTAATTTGTAATGTTTCTGTTAATAATATCACAGTACATATCTTACGACAAATGCCTGGTTACTTTTATCATCCACAATATATATGTAATCCCTTTCTCTCATGTCCTAAAATAAACTAAAAATATGAAGCCTGTGTGAGAGCAGGAAAACTTGCATTAAAACTCTATACTTTATCGCTAAACCATCGTGGTAAAAGTATATTGATATCGACTCATGTAGAGAGCGGTCTTTGACAACACGTTATGGTATTTCCGCGCTGTCAACCATATATTTACGTAAGTATAGATCAGGGAGAAAATAATATATAACGATATTTCTTTTATCTTTAGATAGCACAAAGGCATAGTTCTTTACTACCTATGACTGAATATTCGAGATCAAAAAATAGTCGAGTACAAAAAAAAAATATTTCGTTCCATTGACATAGAATATCTTAATAGTTACTCTATGGTTTATTATCATAAAATTAATCTGAGACTAGCTTTCTGCCGTGTTGGACTGAAAACAAGAGTGAATTGTACAATTTTACAATAACAACTCATACTATAATTCAGTAATATCTGAATAAACCATAATTGAAATTAAATTATCAGTAAAGCAAAATTAATATTAAGGTCTACTTCAGAGGAAATCTTCGGAAAGTGACAATCATTTTTACAATTTGTACAAAGTACACTCTACATAGAAATTAAAAACTAAAAAGTTGTTGGAAAGTTAACAGCCTTATTGACAAATAATAACTAAAAAATTGGTGATTTCTTTGAAAAGATTTATTTCATAAATGTTTTTCCTTAAGATTTTTTAATTAATTTATTATTAGGTAAGAAATCCTTGTTCTGTCTTTCAGAAATCTTACTAATATTATAAACGCGCCAGTTTGTGAGTATGGATGGATGTTTGTTACTCTTTCACGCAAAAACTACTGAACGAATTTCGATGAAACTTTACAGTAATATAGTTTATACATCAGAATAATAGATAGGCTATAAATTTCATGCAGGTGAAACCGCGGATACAGCTAGTATAGAATAAACGTAGTAGGAATTTCTAAAATGACTAAAATTACATAAATATTGAATGCAGTAAATAATTTTATTTCGTTATTATTTTTAAAGGTATAGGATAATTATATGATCTTTATATCGTTTAAGATTACTATTTCTTTTCTCTTTCTACACCGAAACAGCTGGGAAAGGGTTTGCTTAATTAAATACGTAAAGTCTAGAACTATACTGAAAAATAGTTATTAATGAAACAACTTACAATTAAGTTTATAATTTTGTAAGACATGTTGATTACACTTATTTTACACTTTACACTAATATTTTTTACACTTTTTAACTGTAATTCAAAATATCTGCATGGAACGAGTGTGCACGCAGGATCGTAAACAGTTGTATAATGACGGCTAGTGTAGTCACTTTGATATATATATACGAGCACAATCGTTTATACCGCAGACAAAGAGATAAACGCACCGAGTACCTAAATCGTGGGGGATTATTAGTTATGTAAACTTGTGAATAATGGAGACTCCCCGCCTGAAAATCATCTGCTTCTTCCTTATCATAATAAACTGGGGTGGGTGTAATATATTTTTCTCTTCCATTCACTACCTTTTATACCTCTACCTTACTTCCGATGGTCGCGGGTTCAATTCCTCGTACGGTTCAAATATTTATATTCATGAGTATGACTGTAAATATAGGTCCGGTTGTTTTCTATGTATATAACATGTATGTATTTACAAAAAAATCTAAGTACTTATGTCAGTTGTCTAGTACCCACAAGCTATGCTTACCGTGGGACTAGATGGCACAATATTAATTGTCCAGGGTTATTTATTTATTCATTCCTGTTCGTAATCCCCTGGAAACTATAATGGTTAATTGCTGGTGAATTCACGATGGATTATCTTTCCTGCCGTTCTCCTAATTCTATCACCCTACACTACTGCCTTATAGCTGTACCTTCAGGCCAGGCAGATACACTATTTCATATTGAACCATAAAAAATCTATAGGAAACTGTATAATGAATACAATCTATGGTAATATTATGTGGAGAAAGAGTAGATTTTGAAAAAATAATCATAATAAGGAAAGTATGCTATGGAATTGCTTTTCCGATTTGATAAATATTTTCGCTTTTTAAAACGTACATTATTTCAGTGAATATATTGTTTTAATATATACTTACAAAACTTATAAAGTTACTAGAGTTGTTATACAATTTCTGAAAGTATCCTAAAGTAAAATTACTCCTAATAACATAGACATTTGCAAATGGAAGTCACGTTAAAATCGGTTCAGCCGTTTTAAGGATTTTGCTGATCTCTAGAACAATAATACAGACAGACAAAAAAAAATTAAAATCATTTTTTAATGTAAGTACATTACAGACTTTCACTTGCATTTAGTGAAAAGCAGTTAAAATTTGATATTACAAACAGTTTTATTTAATTATTTATTGTAATGATAATAAAAACCTGGGCGAAACCAAAACTGCATATTTAAAGTAACTATTCTAAAGTAGATACTATTGTTTTATTATTTTTTTATCACAGACTTTCGTATTGAAAATCGAACTGAAAATTATGAAAGTCAAATCACACATACAAAAAATATCATCTTGACGAGACCACAGTGGGCTAATGGTTAAGTTACTGGAAGATTAATTTTTGTGTTTTTCCCCCAAAAAAATAACTTTGTGTCAAATTATAATAAACTTGGTCCAATCCACGAGTGTACAAATAGGGAGAAGTGGCAAGCTGTCGTAAGACGGATGACATCTGCCTCTCACTGTACCATGTACCATAATAACTCTGACCGTTGTGCTAAGAGCAATACGAAGGAGTCAATTTATATTTCTGACTGGAGAGTCAGAGGATGAAGGAAATGTTTATACCACTATAAAATTACGATGGTAGGGTCACCCTTTGCTATGTTGGATTAAAATATATCCTAAGATATTTGAGCATATTAAGCTTTTCTTCGACTATACTAATGCAGTTTTTTAATAGATGATATTTTTTTTTATACCAAATAATGGAACGGTGCACTTGCCAGCGCTAACGGGTTACGCAGGCGCGGCTCTTGTGATGGAAGATAAGATGAGTGATGTGGTCAGGTCAGTTAGCCCATCGTAACAAATTTACTAGGAACTTATCTCGAACCAGCAGAATCGCAGGATCCATCTGAAATGGTACATTGCTATCAATTTTGTTCCATTTTATATTTTTAAGGATTTGTGTATAAAATATACATACAAATTGTCAAATAGCAAAATTCTAAATATTAAATAAATATTTACTTAAACAACAAAATCAATCAGTCGTAGTGATCAGAACAGATCAGTCCCTACAAGCAACACCTGTTCACCAGTATAATATTAAATCCTTAGTAAATGCTATGAATGCGAAAGTAACTCTATGTATTTGTCTATAGTGCTATCACGCTTAAACTACTGAACCGAAGTAAATGAAATTTGGTATACCTACATATAATATAGATTCTGAGAAAAGACATATGTTACTATTTATTTTGAAAAAAGGGGAAACGAAATTTTGTATAAAATTATTGTCATGTTTTAAGGTAGAGACTTGTAAGTTATTGTTTTGGCTGTACTCAAAATTGATAATAAATATGATAATGAAGGATCGTAAAAAAGTTATATTTAAGGAAGGATAATAGGTTATGAAATTTTTCATGGATTTCGTGGATTTAAACAATGCAAATCACTTATTAAAGTATTTATACGTATTTGTCTTATTTCTAAAAGACTAATTAATTAAAATGCGAACTACGCACACTATTCCACGCCGAAGTAACGGGCATAGCTAGTGTACTCAATTTTTTTCTGCTTGTAACTACCCATTAACATTGTGTGAATAGGCAAAAGTGGACATCCAAAGTACATGCAACTGAGATATCTTTGTGCGTATATCGCAGCTGAACAAGTTATTATCATCATAACGGATACTACACTAGATATATGGGTTTTCCCACAAGGTCCTTTATTATTATGTCCCAGGAACTCTATAGTACACTGGCAGTTATATTTTTAAACTTCATTACCAAGGGTAACTTTTTTTTCTATAACTGAAATAGAAATCATGGTAAGTGATAAGTATGTGATACCCAGCATTTTTTTTCGAACTAGTCTAATATTGTTGGCTGCAGCTGGCCTTTACTTTCACCGGACGATTAGGGCGAGTGCAGATGGTACTCAAACCCCGCGGATGGACTTAAGGAGCGGCTGAAAGTCAACTCCCGCCTTACGGATACGACTTTAGTCTAAGGCACAGCTACGAACCTCGGCCGGTCGTAATTTCGATCCCCGATTTGAATTGAACGGGGGATCGATCGGAGGTGATAATACACTACGGCAACATACCAAAGGACTGAGGTATCATGCCCCTGTACCAAGTAAATGTACGTGAATATATAAATTAGACTCTATTCTCGGCATTTACCCTCTCATCTGGGCCATTGTGCGTGTAGAGTCGAGACCAATAAAGTAGCCAGTCAAGCTTCTCCCAGAAGCGCAGAAACATTCTGGTGTCTTCACAGGTTTTATAGTTCCGCGGATTTGTGCTCGTTGTGTGGTCACTGCTACGCACTCCAGGATTACGTGAACGGCCGTTTCTTTGGTCGTAAGTACCCCGTACCAAGTAATTCGTCACTACTTCGTCCATGCCGGTCACCTGCGTGGGTCTTTGTCTTACCTATTGGCTTGCAGCTTGCTTTGTAAGCTATATTTTGGTTGAAATAAGAGATAAAGCAGTGAGATTTATAATACCGAAGGATAAAGTGGAATTACCTTTAAATAAATTCAAATCATATTTATTGAGCAAAGCCTATTACACAATAATCAATTTCTTGAATGACAGATATATATTCGACATAGTCACCTACGTAAGTACATAATGTAATAAACTTAAAAAAAATTTACAGTTCAATATAATAAAAAATCATTTTGATAAAAATTTTACAGTAAAGAAACTTAAAGTCAGTAATTCTAAGTACGCTGAATGGTCTACATTAGGTATCAATATAAGTAGGGAAAATATGTATTAATTATATGATATTAGATCCTATTTGCGATGAATCAAAAATTATTCAAAGTATATTCGATGAATCATTCATCCTGAATATGTCAAAAATTTGATTGATTCGATAAATACCTAGTGACTCTGATCAAACAGTGAGAAGGTCTAACACTCTAACCCAAACAAGCCAAAGAAAAAAGTTTCATCATTCTACCTTCAAAATTTTTCAAAACTGTTATCCTCTATTTTATTTTACTCTCTTAGGGTTGCATTTTTGCAAACTTTGAATGTCATATTTATTTATATTTAATCAACAACCTAAAATAAGTTTCAAGCTTCAAAAATAACGATATTACCATACGACCGTTCATCTCTTTAAACTACTATCATTGATTGATTGACTATTCTGATGTCATTAATGATTAATCATTAATGACATCAGAATAGTCATTAATGATTAATCATTAACTGTCTGATACAGCATACCTGCGCCGCGGTAGTTAGCTGTCATGCACTGACAGCTGCTGTGCTGTGCAGTAAATGTCATTCATGTTCATCACCTACTACACCGACCCCAAATAAATGGTATAAGGAAGAATTCGGTCGGTGTAATACATATGTTTTTCGCTTCCATTCATTCCTTATTCAAGTGTTGTCCATGTTGCCGTATGTATGTATGTATTTGCAGTGTGTTTTTTTTATTTTTTATTTATTTATACTTTATTGCACTTTTAAAAATTGTACAATTTGGCGAGCTTAATGCCATATGGCATTCTCTACCAGCTAACCATTAGGTAATAACAGAAAGCGGTTGATGGGCAGTGGTGGGAAAGGACTAACTTATAATTTATGTGTGTGTGTGTGAGTGTGTGTATATATATATGTACATATAGATGTATGTTTGTGTGTGTGTGTGAGTGTGTATATATATATATATATATATATATATATACATGTATATATAGATGTATTATTATTTACTTATTGTTTATATGTTGTCAAAAAACTATTTAATGTCTTCTTTTCTTTAGTTATGGGATTATGTACTGAATGAAATTAGAATCGGTTTTGAATATCGTGTGACTTATCGGGTACACCCATGAGAAGGCAAAACGAGTCATCAGTTCTCGGAAGGAAATACAACTGACAAATCTATTACGTCACAAGACAATGTACTGTTATAGGCCTGTGTGTAGAAATCGTAATTCAAACCGGAAAAATATTTGTAATGATAATAATAATCTTTGTCGATTCCTCAAGGCCGAGTCGTGCCGG